ATAATGAAAAAGAGAAAACCTCCGAACCCTGGATAACTTTGCTCTGATTACATTGAAACACTTTTCATTTGAAAAATACGTTGAGCCGTGTAGAATAAGAGCATTGAAGTAAAAAATAACAACAGTTCCCTCATCATGCAAAGGTCGAAATTCAAAAACCAAAGTAGTTTTATAAACTGTATTGACTGTAAAAGAAAACTTATATAACATAATAAGAAGAAACTAATTAGGCTTAAGTTTAACAAATACATGGATACACATTATATGACATCATTCATGATGTAAAATCCGCCAAGATATGGATAAATAACGTCTAAAACAAAGCTGTTATCATGGGCAGATAACTGGGTAATTAGCTAAAGTCCTAACATAAGTAGGACATCAAGTGACCTTCAAAGGATACCTCATGAAAATAGGTTGTACGTTACACAATCTTTTGATCATCGTTTATATTGTCTAGAATAAGGACATGTTGCATTTCCCATCTTCATTAAAAGAAGGAGAACTTAAATTGACAGTTGTTACCACTTAACCATATGGTATCAATAATCGACTTCTTTATCTGTCAATTCACCAGTCAACCTGGGTTCATAACAAAATAGGAGGCTTCGATGAATAGTAAAGGCTAGACGATTTCTAAAGATAATACTAGTATATATAAAAAGTAAAAGGGCTTGTTTGTCCATCTAATATATATAACCCTAAGATTTAGTTAAATAACAAAAAATTATTGTTATTATTGTATATCATTCGTTTCATACAACCTTTACCCGTTTTTATTTTACACTCTATAACTTTTATTTGAGTAATTTCCTTCACATGCTACTTTATTGATGCTAAGGGTACTTAAATTGAAGTAATGCATAACTGTATTTGATCCCATATTGATATTGTCTATTTTTTACAACTGCACACACACAGTAACTACTCTACAAATCTAGTCATGATATCATAGCAACTTAACATCATAAACTATTATCATACACACTAATGTATGTAATGAATAACAACTAACTAATTATCTTATGCAAAAATAATTAGGAAAAATGGTTTATTCTAGTTACTAAATTATTTATTTAAAACAATATAATTAGAAATAAACAAATCCAACGGATTAATATGAGGGACTTGTAAAGATTGTACTATTTTCATAGTAGAAATTCAACGAATAAAATTGATCAATCGAATTATTTATAATCGACTGTCATTAGACCAACATGGATATTTTTGTAAAGCAGATCAGATTTCAAGAAAAAAAAAACAGTTTTGTTGAAAAATGTTTACACTTATTTATTTAAATTCTGATTTTGTTTCATTAAAATTTTAAACATATCCATATTGTCATAGTTGAAAGCGTGAGTCAATTGAATCTAGACCACCATGGAAAACCTGGAAGCACAGGATGGCCGTATCGTCCTACTATGACTCATGATTTCAACTATGAAAATACCGAAGTCTCCACAAAACCCCTTCTGATCTATATCCATATTGACATCAAAATTTAGTATAAAGCAAAATAACCCTGTTCACCGTTGTATAACAGGAAACTAGATGTTTAAGGCTATGATAATCGCAGCTCAGTGAACAAAAGACAAATGTACATATTTGGCTTTGGGTTACAAGTTTTTGTAAGTAAAAACTATTGATACTATTCGGTTTCCCAAGTTAAATCATATGTAAATAAAACTAGCGAATGCAACGTAACAGTTAAATGTTGCATCTTTGTTCTATTATAGCTTTAAAAAGAGAGGAAAAATATTACTATCGTTTGGTAGCAAATTATAAAACTGATAATTTCAGAGACCCAGTTGATGAACTCTGGGTCACTATCGAAATTGAGAAAACTTGTTATTACATTTAATTATTTTACACATGATAGTGCAAGTTTGAAACAGCAGAAATAGACCATATTGGAGTAATCACAATTGATTAATCACTGGGTGGTGATCAATGTCATGCATGTCAAGTCCTTCTTAGTGCTGATCGAATGCTATCGATCAAGTTGCAATGTGGCCACTAGTTTAGGTGGCTCAACACTGCGTACACTATGTTGAGGTAAGATGGTGGTTGGAGGTGGTCAACAGGAAACCCTGGACCCGGGTTCCGTGCTACTTGGCACTCGTCAACAAGGTGTACCTGTAACCTTGAGGGAACTGGTGCTACCTGATGGATTCGATCCCGTGTCACTTAGCTTCACAGTGAGAGACGTTACCACTGAGCTATTCGGGGCGCGACCGACCTCTTGTAGGACTGAGATGTAATCACAATTGATTGATCACTGGATAGTGATCAATGTCATGCGTGTTAAGTCCTTTTTAGTGCTGATCGAATGATCAAATATTGGAGTAATAAATTCTATTGAGAATAGACTATTCATATGAAAATATTATTTAGTACGGATGGTTTTCAGTACTTGAAAATCTCTTTGATTAGGGCATGAGACCCAATGCCCTACTAAATACATTGAGATTATAAATTTTTTCAAGGGTACTTTGATAAATAAATTTAAGAAAAACCACACAATCATTTAATGAAACTCACTGAGTTAAATACATATTCTTATTGAATAACGGGTCGGGGCTAGTTACTAAGGATTATGAATACCTCCCAAATATTCACACTTAAAACATGATGTTTGTGGATGCGGTGGTCAGCTTAAACGTTTGGGCCATCTATTTTACAATTGTGTAGAAACGGCAACAAGCCTTCTTGTTTTAGATTTTGTCGAACCGAATAATTATGAATGCTAATTGTGTGTACTCACAAAGTGTTTTGAATGACTTACAACCTACAGCGATTCTGAATACTGGGGATCTCAAATCTAAGCACTGAACTTGCTGACACATTCTCGTCCTTGTTTACCCTTAGAAATCCACTGATTCAATATCTGATGCACGAAAAAAATAGTTATAACAACTAAACTGATTGTAAACTTCACTAATGAAGACGAGTAGGAGATACTAACGACCGGGAAAGTATTTATAGGTATAATTTTTGAATCATTAAAATTTAAGCATATGTTAAAGGAAAATTTATTGCAGTACTACAAAATTTATCTTGAGAATTTCCTAATGCAAAAGACTTTATAGTGGTGAACAGAGTTATTATTATCATCGATAACGGTTGCATACTTAGATCACTCGGAAATTACGGAGAATACGAAGACAAAATTGTACTGAAGATCTACTGAACAGTGATACGAACCGATTATTTACTGAAATACCCATAGTTCATAGAGACAGAGAGAGATATCCATTAAAGATTTATTGGAATAAGCAACCATAAATAGGTCTATAATATCCTTCAAAAGCAGACGAACAGTTAGTATGGTAAAAGAGCAAGAAAGTGTCTTTAGTCATGATAAAAATTAAAGATGCTTTGTAAGAGGAATTTCGGCAGGTAAAAAAAGATATTCAAGTGTACAAAAAACAATAAAAGTGGAAGAAAAGGGTTTGAATGCCTTCAACATTTTCATGAAACAAACAGAACCCTGTAGCTAACTTATGCGTAAATATTTGCACGAAAATCCACTCAGTAACAAAACTAAACATCATACTAAAATCGAGTTGACAGCAGTTATGTTATCAAACAAGCCGATTAAATAAAATTGACCCACATTCAATGACAATATAACACAATTATCTTTAGTATTTGCTAACAATTTTAGGTCTAAATATCTTGATTGTGACCGCTAAAATCAGCTAATGAGACTGTAGATTTTCATCTGCTGAGATAATTTGGAAATATGCAACATGCCCCAAAACACGCACCTAGATGCACAAGACTGGATGAAAGAAAATTTAGAGTGGCCAACGCAAAACATGAAATGAAGTTCATGAAGCTATTGATTGTCAGTGTGATAACCATGATCAGTGGTTAGAGAAGTTCGATGATACGGTTTAGGATCGATTTTAGGGGCATAAATGCGTTTACACTTTAGTTTTTCCTGGATTTTAAGCTGCAGTATTTCTCATAACTTTTGTTCATTGAATTCAATCCTTTTGTTTAAATAATGTTCTACAGTGCTTTATCTTTCTCAGTATCACTGACACTATTTAATTCTGCTCTGCTGCTACTTATTCTGTTAACTTCAACCTGCTCTTTCCGTATGCTATAGTAACTTCGGAAGACGCACATTTGTACCAGACTCGACATTATTCATAAGAGACTAACTTCTTGAAATTTTAAGGGATGTTAGGATTTGTGTAATCAATAACCTGGAAACAAAACCAATTACTATACGTTTACCACTGTAGATGACAACTTTGAGTTTATTATTAAGATGAAATGTATTCACCAGTTAACGTTCCTTTACATCAATAAAAGCATGCTCAAATTGTTTCACTAGGCAGAATAAACTCCGAATATAAATCGATCGACTATTTGAAACAGTAGACAATTTTGTGCAAGAGAAACCCGAAGTTAACTGCTATTTGTACTCGACAAAGATTGGTAAGTGAATGCAATAAACGCTACTCTCCAGAACTATCATCAGAATAATATACTTGACAAATACTGTCCTAAGGACACTTCATCTGAGATCTAGATGGAGTTAGTACTAAGACGGTATCAAACAGCAACCCACCAGCCTTTAAGAGATTTTTGAAACGAGTGGAATAATCCACTCATACGATTACTTTGTTCGCTATTATTAAATGATGCATGAATGCAGATCACTCCCTAAAGCCACATTGCCTTTTCTGGAGAAGAGGAATGTATCTCAAACCTTTTTGGATTGTTAAATGTGTAAAAGACTGCACTTTCTCTGAGTCTTCACTAAATAGAAGAAGTCCCAAATTGATAGGAAAGTCAATCATTATAAGGAAAATGCTAGACGACCATCTTTAGAGGCAAATTCAGTCAACCTGTTAGGATCCCCTGGTATACTCCTGTACGAGTTATTAATCCTTAATTATTTTCTAAAAGTTGATGGCCAGGTTTCACTTTCTTATTCAAGCTGTTAATGGTGATATGCAGTTTACTTACAATACTATACATACCTGTTCCGCTATGTGTTTAGAAACTGATGTATTTGCAATAGAAGGATCTTGGAAACCTTGTACACTCCCGAGATTTGTTTCATCGTTCGAGTGTTCTGAGCACTCTATATGTGACGGAGACACTGATATTGGTTTTGGTAAAACAGAGCTGAGACACAGTGGACGATTTGTTATACCATAGGATGATGGCCAAATCATTTCACACGACAAAGGTTGTTTAAATTGTTGATGAATCTGTGCCGATTTGAGTGTGTGGTTAGATATTGCTACTGGGTCATATTCAACATATTCCATATCACCAAGTTCAGTTTGTATTGATTTTTGTTTAGAATTTGTGATCATATTTTCAACGGAACTGTATTTACCATACTGCAAATTGCGAAGATAATGGCAACAGTTGTGACTCCTTAATTCTGATGAAACCCCTATTGATACTTGTCGAGAGACTAATTCGTTCAATTTTAAACCGATTGTAGTGACCTAATATTCATTTCAAGAAATGGAAATTTAAATTGTGAAATACGAAACTGAACGATTATAAGAAATAGATCAATGTGTATATATTTAGAAATAAAACAATATTTTGGAATAACTTGTAAGAATGTGTGCTCTTCTGTTGTTGATATTCAAAACTACCCTAAAGCTGATGAAAGAAGATAAACGACTGATAGTTTGTCGACAGCTGTCGCTGAATTATGGTAAAATGAATTAGTTAATCTATAGCTTGGGAACAATCAGGTATTAGTGAAGATATCACTATATGATAAGTATAAAAGTCTGATCCTGTTCTACAAATGCCTAGCTATACATTCATTATGGCCAAAGTAGGAATTAACAATAAGAGGATTAAACAAATAAATGGTGAGATAGATTCCTAGATCAGATTCAGAAGTTATGTATGGCAATACACGAACTTCACTGAACTTATGATACATTTTTCTAACGTACTTTTGGCCATAGATTTCTTTTTCTCAATGATATGTGTGACATACAGTCTGGTGCTCTATACAGCTGTTTTTAAATAACAACAGTGAAAAAGGAATTTAAACGATGCAATAACAAAAACTACGTTTCCAGCGAAAAAATGTCTGACTCTAACAAGTTCATGGATTAAGAACATTAAGCAACATACCGTAATATCACCTGATATTAAGAACTTCAATAAATGCGTTCATACAATGCACTAATAGACTAAATCTCAAAACTAAACATTGAGCACAGAAAATAAGGTTCTTAAAAAATGATAATAACAACCTTGTAATACTATTGCGAAATATGTTTAAGTAATTTTTGCTCCTTGCATATTTTATTTTTAAATAATGAAAATCTACACGAAAAAATTGGAATAAAACATTGATTGACTAAAAAGGACACATTATCACGAAACCTCACAGACAGACAACTGGTTCAATACAGAAGTGTTTATTATTTTTTGTCACTTTTTTATAATCTAACTGATTCTTAATTCTGACCTTAAACATTTTGTGTTTATTCAAAAATAATTTTATTGTGAAATACCGTCAACCGAAAAATCATTCATATCCACTTAAACTTATAAATCAAGTGGAGATTTGTAGCTCAGGTGGATCATTTTGATGGAGTTTTGTTCTCTGAGCTGGATGGTTTGGCATTGGATCTTTGATCGTCCTACTGAACGATATCATCAGCACAAACTTCGGGTTCCATATAATAGTAATCCCTTTGAATCCCATTTATTCTATACTTAAGGCTGACAAATAATAAACTTCATTGATTGACAAATCTTATTATTTGATAGCCATAAGGTCTTTCAACCTTTTTGTGAAGTCAATAACGAATCTTAAGTTGAATGGTGACACAGCATATATAACAATGCACTGTTGTTAATCCAAATGATTAAAATTTGCAGCATCACTAAATACTATATTCACCAGTGATAAATACTACAATGAACGGCTTGTAAATTAAGTAATCATTGTAGAAACAAAGATTTCATTAACAACAAACAAAAGTCAGAGACATAGATATTTGAAAGAGAAACTGATTATTATCATAAACGTTTAACAAGGTCAAGCATTTGTGAATAAATACTCACCCACGATAAACCAATTAGTTCAGTGTATGCTGGTGGAGCATAAATAATGATATTATGTGTAGCATCAACAATGATAGCAACCAGACACTTTGAGTGAACACTCAATACTGATTTTGGAAAAACAGGAGTGGTACTACTAGCCAAAGGAATTTGGATACCTAAGGTACCACTACTACTAGTAGTAGTAGCAGTAGTATTATCATAACAATCTGACATCTCCATGCAAGTGATAGATGATGATGACGAATCCGATTCGGTTGGATGACAACCTACTAATGGTAATTTATTTTGTGGTTTGGTATTTGAATCTGTAAAAATGAAAGAAACAAATCAAAAATTATAATACTTCGATTTATTGTGTAAACTACATTTGTTGCATGAAAGTTTACAATACCATCTAGTTTGTCAGGAGAGTGGAAAGGACCCATAAATTAACAGGTGAAAATCAATTGAATCAATCATGTAAACTATATATATTTATCAGAGTCAACCCAACGATATGTTATACTTATTTTGAGAATCATGAATTATGTACTTTTTTCACAGCAATAAAGTAAAAATAAAAAAGGCAAGATATAGAAATGCTGTTAAAAACCAATGGTAGTTCATGATATCCCCACCTACATACCCGGTTTCATTTTTCATAACAGTTTGTTTTGCTTTTTTAAAATCCTTAAGATGAAACCATATAGTAAGTCACTGAATTAAATCTACAAACTGTATGTTCATGTGGAAACTATTGGCAGTCATCAGATCTTAGTATTTTATTTTGGAGTCTACATTACAGTAATTTCCATGTTTACAATCTAACTCTATGTTGTTACAATTACTTTTTGGTGGAGTTTTATGATGCAACAAAACTTCAATAAATGGAGGTTTTGGGTAGATTGGATCAAAGAAATAAGTCAACATAAAACAATCAGTAGGAGAGGAATTAGTGAAGCAATCCTCTAGGACAAAAAATGATCCAAATAAAAACAACCAAAAAAGTAGTGTGGCACAAAAGCTACATTCATATACAAGGCAAATGCGCTAGATTCTGTTTGCCAAAACTCAAGCATATATGAAATACAGCTCAGAACTTTGACACACTAGGTCGGAGTTGAAGATTACAACGAAAAGAAAACTTCAATTAGTACATTATGCTAACCTGATTCAGTGGAAGGATAAAGCCAGTTATACAAACATAAAGAATTGCTGGCTATGCGCACAATGACAGCTTTTTCGAGAACTGGTGTGGACAAGTTGTGTTGTCTAAATATAGTCGTAGCAAGACGATAAGTCGGGGCGAAATCAAGCTCTCCGATAGTATTTAACAATGAACTGGATTCTGTTAGACCGTCTAATATTTGCTCGTGGTTATCTCCCCCCAGTTGTCCAACCTTATGACACTTATTCTTGAGAACATCAACAGCCAGATTTTGTTGAATCGGTAGTGTTAAGTATAGTTCGACTAGTGCTTGATTTTCACGATGTCTTCTCTGCCTAGCTGCAATACGCGACTTCTCACGACGCTCATAAGTTTGCTTTCCCTTTGAATGATTCTCTGATTTGACTTGAAGATCATAGTTTTTAGAGATGATGGGATTATAATCTGAAGGTAGCGAAGGCTTGTATGATTGATTATCAACCTTGAGTTTTTCTTTTTCATGTGAAGATACATTTTTCTTCCTGGATTTATTGTAGTTTCTGCTAAAATATTTGAGATAAAAATACAATAACTCTAAGGAATACGGAAAAAAATCACAAAATCTTTTCAGATAGCTTCATTGTCACATAAGTGAAAATTCCACTAATCTATTACAAACAATGCTTGCGTTCCATTATATCTACTGGGGACTTCGTGCAAAAACGGATAAGATATTGCATGATTCCAATATTTATTCGACAAAAGTTCAAATATCAAAATACTAAATGATTGTGGTTTATCAAATATCAACAGGTTCTAAAGTTTATAGTACACTGTTAAAAATACGGACAAATTTTGAATTATGTACGACCTGTTTAATCTGAATATCAGGTGTTTCATACATAAATTGATAAAACAGTATCTAAATATAGTTCAATGAAGAATGAACTTCATGAATTATTTATTCACCCTCCACTTTGAGGATCCAGATTACTTTCTGAATTTAACCAACTGTCAAAATGTAATCTCATTGCTAAAGGTTTGTGTAACAACTACAAAGTATGGCAAGAACCTGCATGACAATATTTCTTAGTATTTTTTGACCCGAATTTACAACTATAATCGGGATAACGATTGACATTATTTAAATAATAACTACTTTTGGAATGTCAAAATATGGGAATATATCTATTAAATGCTTTTGAAACTAAAGGTATTTCATCTAATTCTGACCACATCATATTTTTAGAGTTCAATTCAACTTCATGACAAGTAGCAGATGAAAATGATAGGATCACATGGATTTTCCTACATAGTATGCAACCAAGCACAAAACATATGGCAATTGGAATTGCATGAAGAGAAGAGAGTCTAAATGACAGATCCACAAAATTGCCGTCACTTTACTTGGGAACAATCGTTTGCTGTAATAATAATTATGACACAACACATGAAATCCCTAGCAAACGTTTTGATTAGAATAAATCTGATGGATCTATAAGTTTTCAAAACAAACATTTAAAAAGTTGACGATATTTCAGTTTTTCGGTCAACAGCGATTCTCAGCTTGCAAACAAGGATATAACCGAGGATATGAGTGTTTATTATATGGGTAGATTCCAGTCGAGTCATACTAGAGATATCTAATCATCAATAAACTATGCTCGAATTGTATTATGACGAACGTGTGCACCTCCTACACTGAGCACCAGACTTCACTTGTCTTCAGATACTGAGATTTGGTTATATACCTAGACAAAGTGTGGCAGGATGAATTTCGCAGTCATATCAAATGGGGTCGCTGTTAGAAACCCACATGAAAATACTAAGCTAGAAAAGTATCTGAGCCTAAACATGTAACCTGACTTATGGATATACGTATCGCAAGTTAAATACATAAAATCCAGTTGGTGGACGAGTTATTTGCAATAATGTTTTAGGACTATGCTACAAATAGTCACTTTATTTCAAGAAATAAACGGCGTCCTCAACCAAACTGTGTCTATAAACGTAATAATGGGTAATACTAGTCACAGCCAAAAAAACAATCCCGAGACTTTGTGGAAAATAAGTTAAATTTCAAGAAAGTGGAAACATATTTTACTTTTAGCTAAAGTAAGGGGAAATATTCAGCGGGATTTCCAGCAACATACTAAAAGATGATCCCACCACGCTTGAGACTGAATCTTATAATATCAGAATGGATCTACAGGTTTAAATTCAGTAATACCATCCAAGGCGCTTCCAAAAAAAATTTGTTCACTGAAGTAACTGACAGTGAGTTTCAAATCGGTTGGAAAACTAGTAAACTACTTGGTCTATAACCTTGCAGTATAGAACACATATACACGAGAATAATATGATAAAATAGCATGACATAAGGGAAAATTGGCTTGAGTTCTCAAGGACTGAAAAACGATGACTCAAAATATTAAAAGACATGCTGAGTTTTCTATACGCAGCACTGGACGTCTAATGATACACAGAATGAGGATAAAAAGTTACTATTTGCCATAGTGAAAGCAAAATGGTACAATCCTGAGGGGAAGTTGGAGGAACACATGGTAATATCCAGCTTAAGACTAGCGAATGAGTTATTTTTAAATTCCATTTACCTTCCATAATCTTTGTGAACTAGTTACTCGTACTCTTAATTCCTTAAAATATCTTTATTCTTACTTACCACAATTGTTTTTAAGGTGTCTTCCTGTCGAAGATTTCCTAAGAAAATCTGGATCAAAATATTGGTTTTTTACCTCCGCTTTTCCGAGCCGTAAGTTAACTTTTCACTCAAACATTTTTAATTTTTAGGACAAATTTAGACATATCGGATAAACACGTTTGCTTTCAATCAGGAAAATGTTTAAAGATATATTTCTCTTCACGTTGATGAGCAAGAAAGAGAAAAAGTCGATAAGGATTTTCTTAGTTACATTCCATCATGAAAAACGAGACAGATCGGAATTCCCGTTATTCCTGTCCTTATTTTCGAACACATCATGACTTTAAGCTGATAAACAAATAAACCAAAACTGTGTTATTGAAAATTATTTCATTGACTTCTTAAGATAGCGACATAAAGACTGCAACCTTTAAGACACCGTTAAGGCATACAAAGAACACTGCCGCATATATCTTTTCTATCTCCAGACTTTTGTGACATCAAATCAGCTAGTAATCGAACTATTTGCGGGATAGATGATTCAAACCATATCTTTATATTGTTAGATTTTCTTAACAATATGTCAGATAAAGTAACATGAATAAATATGAAATAGAACTATACTTTTATTAAATAATGGGTGAAGTATTCCCTATTCCTACGGCAGTCAGGAGCTCAGGCTATTTAGATAAATTGAACAAATGGTAAGACTTGACATACGTTGGGCAATCAGGTAAGCTTCGAGGAGCAGTAGTTGGTAAGCACATTGTACAATGTGGTACCGCGAGAGTTGTATCAGGCGGGTTTTGAATGTAGTCCTTGAAAAAGGTTTCAAATTCAAAGAATAAGTTTCAAATATTTCACTCAAGAACAAACAATCTGGGAAATCACTCTCTCAATTTTAGGTGTCATTCAAATTGTCGCTAAGCTGTCAGAAAAGTGAATTATACGTGAATCTATGGTTATATGAGCTAATGCCTTCGAGATCTGTTTGGGTGGAACGAGCGATCCTTAAGTCACCTTATATGTGTACTACACTGGCCGTCATAGCCTTAGAAATGAGATGTTTTGTGTAAGTTTGATGGGGGACGAATAAATTCTCAATATAAATGATGTCTTAGAAACATGGCTCATCGTAAATATAGACTGTCAATGTATTAGGAGTGACAGAGTTGTCGATCTCAAAGCAGAATTCACAATATCATATATTGAGGACTACATTGAGTACATTTGAGAGCATTAAAGGTGTATGATAGTGGTACGTGTGGGGTAGCTTGTATAATTAAACCCAGACATGGGTTATTGATGAGACCTAGTAAGACACCGGGCCCTGATGGATTGCATCCACGACTCATATTTACACACACTCATGTATGAATACATACAAATTCCATCGCCTTTAAAATTTATAAATATTTATCGCTCATAAAGACAATTTCAACGTGATTGTGTTATTATGTTGAATGGTTTTGAAACTTTTATTCTCTTTCTGAACAACATTATTACAGGCATCAAGCAGGAGTTCCGACTGACATTCATCTCGCTTTTTTTGAATGTACCTTGAAATTTGGACACAACCTCCATTTATCCGATATGGAAAGCTTCTCGATTTCTGTGCATTTGAAGAGTTTAATATTCCAGATGCCTTATCTTAACTTTTTCAAGCGTTATACGGAAATAACTTTCTTACATCATTACAAATAGATATTTGAATAATTTCTCTTAAACCATTATGATATTGAAAATTTGGCTATAGTGAGGCATTTAAAGAGCTGTCTAATACCTTTAAGTATGTAAAGTAAGTTACGCGCAGATAACATATCATGGTGACTGTTTTTGTGTCAGGTATATAACTACTCTTACCACCGAATATTCCACTGTACGTTTACTTACATTTTGCAAACTAGTTTTTCTAAATAAAATTTCAGCTATTTCAATGAGTTTTACGTTTCATTGTTGATCTTGTACCAAGTCAAATGAAGTTGTATACCTTTATTCCCGTATATAGAGAATTAGCGTTCTCTTTTCGTGATTCGCAGTAAATGAACGGTTGGTTATGAAGTATTTACTGACGCCTAGTTATATTTCATTTCTGCGTTTCCTCACATCCCTTGGTTGTGATTGAATAAATAGATGAAGGAGTCCATACATGTTAATTATTTCATTGAATTCACAGGTTGCCGGGATTTGTGAATGATGAATGTTAAAAAAAAATCAATTATGGCATCGACATGCATACTGCAAATAACTACGGAAAACCTACTGCTTTAATAATTCGCACGTGTTCTGTCTTCATTACCACGTCATTTTGTCGTCGTCAATTTACAGGTTTCGAATCCACTTTGCTTAGAAAGTTTGCATCAGCTATTTTACCAGAAAATTATAATGGCGCTCAACACCTTTAAGTCTGATGAGTACTTGACGATATTCCTTTTCATTACAGTTCTAAAAAATCGTGTGACTTTTCTACATCTAATCTTAATTGTGATAAATTTGACTAATGAATTGTAAGCCAATCAGAAGACAGTTTTAGCTGGCACGCATATTTACCTATATTACTTTTGACTTTTCTCGCTTTCTCGAATAAGACAGCAACACACAAACTAACCGTTTCCAAGGGATGTTGAAGCTGTCTAACCATAGAGTTTTCTTACATAAAGGTTAAGAGTAGACTGAAATCAGTTTTACAGCGGATGTTTAATTATAAGGAGCTTACAAATTACACATTCAGACATTCAACTAAAGAGTACTTTGTAACCACGCTTTCCTGTTTTTTTAGTTATCAAGATCCTTTTAAATCCTGTCCTCAAAATGCCGCTGTCTTAACGATTTCAAAAGTTTGAGAAAACATATAATTTTAGTAGATGCGTCATAAGTTCGTTTCACATTGTCTACGCCATAAAAACTTCTAAACCCACACTGGGCTTCACGTAAAAAAGTTGTTTTCGTTCATGTATGGTGAGTGTTTTCCAGGCCAATAACTAGCATTAAAGTTGAGGAGTGTTCCATGGTTGTAGGTTCCCGGTATAATTGATCGTTAGAGTTGGCACTGAAGTTTTCTGACATTTTTAGGCTGATAAGTACTACCTATCTGATCTTTTGAGCGGACTTGACCCCTGGTTTTAAGTTTCTGTATGATAATGTACCTATATGGATATTTAAGTTTAGCTTGTATATTAGCTGTCACTTTGGCAGCAAACGTCGAGCCTTATGTTGAGGGATACCGAGTGTGTCTTTTCTATTGATTTTGTCACAGAATCCTACAACATGCCGATTTTAACTGCGGTAAGTTTCTAAAAACTTTCGTCCACGTTCTTTTTTCCATCTTTAGTGTCTACATTGTCTTATCCAGTAAAGTTTAGTGTTGGAAAGTACATGATAGATTTATTGTGAATTCTAGGGTTCAAAAAACTAGACCGGTTATTAATAAATAGTAAGAGTAAGGCTGGTTTAAGGACTCAGCTCTATTGCACACTGCTTATCACTGCGAATTAGTCTGATAAAATAGAGTGAACTCTGACAAATTGTGGTACCCTTTATAAGTCAACTCATCAGATATCTAACTGATACGATGCCAGGTCATACATACCACAAACCTAAACGAGCCTTACATCAAAAAAGCAGGGAGGGTGGCGTTACTGACAAGGAGATAAATTCAATCCACCCATGTCTGTATGGCAGAACATTTTGTTTAATTACGGCTCCTTAGGGCCTGGTGGAATGTCACGAATGAATGGTATTGATGCTAATTTATGCTAAAAACCTTTTCAAATCGTGTTTGTAACACTGGCCTTTGTAGCAGATAAGATAATGGCATGGAATAGCACCCGAGACAACTACAGAGTTGCCTCAAAATATCGTTCGAAAATCGATCTCGACGGTAGTCGACCTACAGGTCATGGTGATGAGGATAACTGTAATCATATTCTTCTCAGTTTCTGAGACCGAACTAATATATCAGAACCCTACGCCCCCCGAGCCAGGTCATGCTCTCATAAAGCCGTAACAACTCGCCCTAAGTGGGCATTTTCCAAGCCACTCAAAAGGCGCCCTCGGAAGCGGTTTCCGGTTGATGCTGGTTTCACCGTGTTTTCGGGCCCGGTGCCCGTCATTGTCGAGCCCCCTGTTCATACAAAGTGGGAAACTCCTGAGCCGGCGAGTAAATGCGGCCGCACTCACTGGCCCTTCACCTAAGGTTGACCGTTTATTTTACATGCACAATTATCGCGTTAACGCTAGGTACCTAGTAGATACAGGCGCCCAAGTTTCTGTCAAGCCCATTAGTAACAACAAGTCTCGAGTTACTGTGCTTCGACTACGCGCTGCGAATAGCTCAGTCATTCCTACATATGGTGCACGATAGCTTACGGTCAACCTGAGCAACCGACGACAATATCTGCGGATGTTCATCATTTCCGATGTTCCCACAGCCATACTCGGCATCGATTTCCTACAGCACTATGAGTCACTTGTCGATTCACGCAGGCTGCAGATAATCGATACTTCGTCGAACAGCAAATTCGTGGGCTTCAAAGCTTACACAAACGCGTATTGAATCACAGGTGTATTTCGTTCGCATGACGATTTATTCCATGCTTTATTTCAGAAATTCCTCAAATTAACTAAACCTCTCGAGGAGATTCCATTGGTGACCACTTGTGTGGCATACCACATAGTCACCCACATAGTAACCCATCACGTCTACTACGAAGGAGATAGTTGCTCATCGCTTCGTAGAACGCTGGATAGCGCTGTGCGGTTGTTCCTCGTCTGTCACAAATGACCGAGGACAACTATTTGAGTCCGGATTATTCTCCTCGCTAACCCGGCTGTTTGGTAAGGAACAAATACCCACTACCGCCTACCACCAAGCATCAAATGGTTTGGTTGAACGGTCTCATCGCCGACTCAAAAGTGCTCTTCGAGCACACGAAAACTGGCGTGAAACCCTCACCGCTCGTCCTCTTGGGTATCAGAACGACTTTTACGGCAGATATTCAATGTTCCACCGCTGAACTTGCTCACGGAACGATATTGCGTCTGCCTGGGGAATTTTTAACACAACGGAGCAGTAACGATTTCGGCAAATCAAACTACGTCCAACGACTGTCAGAATTTATGCGAACACTGGCTCCGATGTCAACTCGTATACAACATCAACAGGTCGCTCTCCCTCGAGAGTTATCTACCTGTTCACATGCTTTCATACGAGTAGATTCGGTACGCAAACGCTCGCAACAGCCCTACGAAGGACCCTTTTCACGCAACTTCCCATCACGAAAAGACTTTCAAGGTTGATCGACATGGTCAAGATAGTCAATATTGATCGTCTCAAGCCAGCACACATCGATGACTTTGCTTTACCTGATAAGCCGAGACTCAAAGCTAGACTGATCAAACCTTCTACCGGGATCTCTACATCTACCTCAGATCCCACGCTAGATTCATCAGAAACTGCATTCTCATGTCCCCGTCAACAGTACGTATCAGCTGCACCATGTACGGACGAGACTTCCGTCTCACGTCCAGCTCAGCAGACCACGCCGCCCTTGACTTCGGATGAGATTCCAGTCTCACGAGGTACGGACGAGACTACCGTCTCACGTTCCGGTCTTCGAGTACGCCTACCCGTACGTTTTCACGACTAACCGCACAACCAACAACGGATACGGTATAGGACTTTATTTCTATACTACATGCATGCTACATTTTGTCTTCGATTTTTTCTTAACCTTGTGCCCACGCCTCCGACCATCGCCCCGTTGGTACTGTCGACTTCAGTCAACCTTGGAGAAAGCTGGCCTGATCACCAACGCTCTAGTCAACACACTCAGTCTATGTTTCTGACTCCAAATACGTATGGCATGCATTTGGTTCCGAACTTGGTTATTACGGTCGCTTCTGGTTTCTTGGCTCAATATGGTTCCGTCCTACGTCTGCTGCGTTTTCTGTTCCTGACGCCTACGAACGCAATCTTCCGATTCCTGTTACTATAACTCTTATTATAAGCTTTATCTTGACCATTAGATTATGATTATTATATTATTTACTGTTCATAAATTATGTTCAGTTTATTAATTACCGTCTCCGACGTTCACAGCCATAATTTGGATTGAAGTTGTATAAACGTTATTTCTTATTTTGTGGTGTGATGAGGTCTGTTTGGCTGGTATGTAAACCAAGTATGTTTGAAATAAATAATTCCCATGATGAGAGTTCTTGTTGACGTTCTGGACTCAGCTAGACAGGCTGGGTGAACAAAGGACCATAAAGTACGCTAGGCTGCGCATACCAGTTGAATGTCATTGGATTAGCACAGTACTAAGATTGAATAAGTCGTATTTCGATTGGCGAATAAATCACGTAATAATTTGCCGGGCTTAAAGTTAAAACAGAATAGGAGTTTCACAGGAACATCTACAAAGTAAAAAGTCATGTGTCATATTTCTGATTGGATTACCTGTCCTACTACCATGTGTAGTCGGGTTCCAGAACCTTTGAGAAACTCAAGCCTTAGTTTATCCTTAGTTTATCATGCATAAGTTAACCTTGGAGTAAAACGTTTTGTCCACATTTCGCGCCTTTTCTCTCGTGTACAAGTTGTCGTATAGAGTTAGCCTGGGGTTGTACGAAGAGCTTGGGATACTGATTCAAGAGTTCATTTATAAGATTTATCAGTATCGAACAGTGATATTAACTTCTTTTCCTTTATTATGAATTATTAACATGGTCAAGCATCCAAGCAACTGCTTGAAACGCCATTTCACTAAGCTTGATAGCCAAATTTTTAATCTCACTCTCATCTATTTCTGAATCTGAATAAATATATTTACTCAAAGCGGGTGCTGTTTTTATTTTCATTAAGGACATTTTGGGTTTAGATATATGACCTAAGTAAAATATTTAGAGTAGATTAGTATCAGGATTATTAGATCCCACCTTATGAATTATATTCATAGAACATGAATAATTCCAATGAGAACCCGGATGCGATAATGGTGTGGCGGTTGCATGCTGTCTTCCTTTCTAGTTATTTCTTGTAAAATTTACCGATCGCCCGTTACGAATTACCTAAAATGCTTCCTTGCAATGGATGCTATCAAATGTGTCATCTGTTTATTTCTTGGTTTTGTAGCAACATAATCACTTTCTTTAATAAGTTTAATGGGAAAAGCGACATATGTTCTGTCTCACTTTTCCATTCATTGTTGCTAAGCTATTCACTTTTTTTCAGTTGTATATTTTACAAGCTGATATAGATCTATCTGACTGAATTATTAACGATACACTTCTGGGTTAATAAATTTCGTTAACTTCATCAAATGAGTTAACTAAATGGTTGAAGGAATTAACCTAGACCGCTATGAAATTATTGTTTTTTATTTCTGGAGATTGAGGTCTAGAACTTCTTAAAAATCTCACCATTTAATAGCATAAATAATCATATAATTAGATATCAACACTTAACTGGTTACATTTAAAATTAACTACTAAAGAAATCGATTGAGTTAGTTTTGTGAGTTCTTTTTACAGTATAACAAAATGAATTCATGAAACATTATATTGTAGTAAATACTTGAGTTCATTCATTCTGCACTTCATGAATAGATGCATACTTAGAAATATAACTTAAAAATTACAGATATGTAACTTGGAATTTCTCATGTGTTCAACGTAAACTGTGTACAAGGACAGGAATTTTGAATTGATTTCACCAGAATTAAAAGCTGCTTCATTTGCACTGTATGACGGGGGATAGATTAATTAGTTTCATTCTGTTGATGTTATCTGTTCAAGAAAAATAACAAAAGCAACTTATATACAAAACATTTTCCTAAAAAACCATAAGTTTCTCTTCACTTAGATGTAAAAATTAGATGAAGTTTCAAACTGCATACACTTTGCTGTGAACGAAATCTATTTCATGATGAGATACTAATCAAAGGACAAATGAGTATTTGGCTCTATATGTAACGTAAAACCTAACCCACGTGTACTTTTTTGTACCACTGGTAGTATGCAAATTAACTTCCAATCACATCTGTTGCATTATTCATATTCATTTGATAATAATGAAGCACAGGACTGACAGTCCCCCCAGTCCTCTATGTTTTCTAAAATTACCTTGGTTGTCATAAATGTTCTACAAATATGAAAATTAGAGTTAAAAATAAACTTATTTTACCACATGGTCTCAAAAAGTAGATACTGAATCGTTGACCAGGAGTCTTCTTGCCTGAGCTACAGAATGCAACTATAGATAATGTCATATTTTACAAAGATCAGTCACTATTATCTAAGCTGTTTCATGTGAATGTAAAACAAATATCTCTTTCACAATAAAACGGAAAAAATAATATCATGTAAATAGATAATTCTTACTTTTGAAAGTTACCTTCTATGTATATAGAAGGATATGGATTAATAGTAAATTCTAGTATTTATTCCTTACTTACTAATGTCTTTGTTAGGAAAGCGTTACATAGGATATATATATTTATAAAATCATACACCGTCTTAAAGCCTTTATTAAACTTTATTCAGACTTCGAGATCTCTATAGACAAAGAGAAGGTGCAGCGATGAGACCCACAGTACCTCCAATCGTTGCAAACTTTTATGCATTCACTGGAGGCAACAGAACATATCAACTGTATATCAGATAGTACCAAGTTCATCAAAGACACCAAATTACTATTTCTTTACTGTTTAGTTGAAATAAAATATAATAATTGTTTATAAGTTGAGTATATTTCGAAATTCATAGCATTCTCAGAAATATCCAGATTACAGATCAGAAAATGATTTATCAGTAAAACTGACAGTCATTAGGAATCTGATAAAAAGAGCTCATCAACTTGTCACAGAACTGAGAAACAGGTAAACTGGGTTGAATTTAGTTGTACTTACATTGACGATAGATAACTATCCTAACGACTGTGAAAGCAATAAGTAAGAAGGAAGTTCGAGCAAAAAAGAAGGATCAACCGAAAGAATTTGTTAAATTTATGATAATCCATACCTCAAATGATATTCAGAAGAGATTAGGGAATTCATAAAAACTATGTTAATAAAAGTTTAAGATACAGTCAGTGGAAGGATAGCGGAAATGCCTATGAGATCAAAAATACTAACTGCAATCTCGTATATGTAAGTGAGATATTGCAACGACCGAACATAAGGTGTAGGGACACGAACTATACTTGAAGCATATTTCCCAAGGAACTTGAAAACAGAACAGTGTTATTATTACATTTAAAAAATGAGATAAATAGTTGACTGAAAAATTCTTCCCGGGAGATGTTAAGTGGTCAGAAGTAATCTATAGGAAGCCCTAGATCTCAGTATTTTGTTATTTGGCACTCGCTGACAAAGTGTAACTGTAATCTTGAGGGAACTGGTGCTCCCTGGTAGATTCGAAGTGCACATATATATATGTATATGAGTAAACCCGAACAACCCAAATAGATGAAATGAAGTACATTCAGCTGCATCATAGCAACTAATGATTAATAAGTGAATGTAGATTTAATCTACTACTTCTGTTTGATTTCATGTTATGTGGAAAACAGAGGTGCACGCGCATTCGTTTTAATCACCTAGATATATATTAAAAAACCAGTCTATTTAATATTGGGATATGAACATACATTTACTTATTAATTTTCATTCCAATTACTCTCCGAAAAGTTTCATTTGTGACTATCAATTAGACTAGCCAATTTTATTCCGACCATAAATCAAGGTGATATATTTGACCAATGGTTTTTTCACGCCATATTTGGACACTTCTATATACATTTTCTAGCATATCACAATGTCACATTTTAAACTAAATAATTCGACCACACTGTCGAGAAAAACGTTGGAGTTATCCTTAATTTTAGTCGCAAATACGATTTCCTTATTATTACTACTTATAATGTTCGGACAAAAAATTTGTTTCATAATACATTATTAAATATCATATGTTTTATCATTTATATTGGGTCACGTTTTTCAATCATCTGATCAGCACGAAGAACAAGACAGAACAACGTACATCCATTTCATCTCAAGGACTGTCATCAGCTGTTTGCAAACTGATAGTCAGAACTAAATAGTATAACGAATATCAAAGTGTTATTATGGAATGGGTGAGAAGTTTCCCTGATACTACTGAATTGAATTCCGTAACCAATGACAATGAAATTCCTATTTCCTTATGTTGTTCATGGTGAAAAGATGATTAGGTGGTTGTTCTCTGAAAACATAACGATTACTTAGAGATGCTGTCGCACAGAAAAAAAATTGATTCTTGTATTGATAATCGTGATAGTAACATCGCAAGAGCTGAAAATAGCACATGTTTATCAAGTTAAAACCAAAATTTTCAAGGTAAAATATACATTCACTCCTTACTTAGAAATCATGTAACGGTAGATGACTGTATTCTTCCAACTTAATGTCATTTTAAATGCAACTATGATCTGTCCCTATCAATGGTATTGTAGATATATTTTCTTTTCTAAGTGTAGTATTCTTTTTATTTGAATCATCTGGTTCCATTGAACCATTGCGTATAATTGGAATATTCCTTGGTTCTGATTGACGCTCATAAGCTTTTGATTTTTCATGAACGACTGACGAGTGATTACTGTTGATAGTGTTGAGGTCTGACTGTTGTGTTGGACTAAACACTACCGATCCTGTGTAAACTAATCCAGGTATTGGCGATAGGTCGTTCGTTGGAGACAATTTCTGTTTTATTGTTTTAGCTAAAGGCTTTATGGATTCTCTGTGTGGCTTGACAAAAGTGTTCTGGCACGCTTCTCGATGTTCTTCTAATTGACAGCGTCCACTTACTGGACTAAACTTAGGTCCGACTTTTTTATGGCTTTCATGTTCTTGGTAACACTCGTGATAACGTAATTTGTTCGAAAATGCAGAGTCATCTAACTTCATCGAATTTTCACGACGGTAATCTGATACTTTGGATGGTCGAAAACTTCCTACAGCATAACCATTGTGTTTCTCATTAGGTCTACAAAGTAAATCAGGTGAAGGAAGAGGTGTATGGATTGATGCATTGGGTGTAGGTAAGTTACCTTTTTCTGTCCAACTACACTGAATGGCTTCTTTTTCCGTGGACTTATTCATTTCCTGAAGTTGATCATGTGCCATAATCTGCGACTCACTTGGAATTTTCTTTTTGAAAAATGAAATCTTTTTACCGGAAGACTGCAAAGGTAAACATATTATATGGATAAAAGATTATGTAGTTATTCAAGCTGTCAAAAATATTAGTCATATCTACGAAATAGGAGATTCAGCAACGAAGTATCAATATAACTCCTTTAACAATTTTTTTCCATTGACTCAGCATATTGTGTATACCTTGTGCCTGCAACTGATAGTACTGGGGTATGAGGTCAGATGTGTTATAAATATTAAACTTTATTATTGTCTATTGAACTCATAATATTATCATTCATACGATCAGAATATTATAAGAAAAATACAACAGAAAATAAATGGCTATAATTTAATTATTACAAATTTTGTTGAGATTACGAACTGATTTAAGTTAGGCAACTGTTGAAAAGCTGGATTTGTGAATGGTCACTTCCTCGAAGTATGGGACTTCTCAGAAGTGGAAACCCACGACCCGCAACTAGAAATCAAACTCAGGGCCTGCGGTCTCATTTGATATTTATAAACTGTAATTGTAATTGGTGAATTCATAATTACCATCTAAATGTTTGTTTTGAAATTGAGGCTTTTTGATCTTTAACTTGTTATCGTCGCGATGTTCTCTTCTGTTAGCATTAAAACTATGAAACAATTGAATGTGAACAGCTATAAGCTAGCTGAGAGAGGTTTTAAACTTGCTAACTTCAATTAACAAGACACACATAAAACTACGACTAGTCCGACTCTATTTTTACTGTTTATATTTATTCAGCTTAGTGCTACCTTTATTTGTGTCGAGAAGTTTAACTCGTAAATCAACTCATGTGATGTTTATAGATTATATCACTTCTTTTTCTGAAAGGATTTAATCAGAGACCATGGAATTGGTTACATAAGAGCATTTGAATTTATGAGTACATGCTGAAGTGTTCATTTCGAGCTTATAATAAGTGATTACCAATGTAGACTACTTTTCCTGAGTTCTAACTACTAATCTCATCCAAATATCAAGTACAAAACACAAAATGACTAGACATCAATAAATCATCGTAAAATATATAAATTTATTATGACTACCAGTTGTCGAAAAATCACATAGTCGTCAATAGTTTTATAACGAGGCAGAGTAAGATTATCATGGTTATCATGTCTAATTTTTATGACTCACTGATCGACAATTAATTTTAAAAAATAACTGTCTAACCAAATTATATTAAGTTACAATCACTTACTGATCGATATTTTGTGAGGTCAACAGGACTGAAATTTCGATTTCGTGAAAAACTCTTCAAATCTTTTGGCCTCGGTGGTTTCAAAGAGCCTTCATTTTCGAAGTTTTGTACAGATCTGTTTTGATGAATATACGAATAGGTATTACAGTTATTATTACTATTAGTAATGGTAGTAGTAGTAGTAGCAACAGTATCATCATTATTGTTTATACCTTTTTGAACAAATGGTGTATCGGTTAAATTCTCGTTTGTAAAGTAATATTCGCCTCGGTGTGTATGCTGACAATTGATATTATTACCATTATTCATTCCATTAAATTTTCGTTTTACAATTATAGGCGGTTTCTCATCATTTTTTAAATCATGCTCCAAATGTCTTGAATAAATGGATGAATCATTGTCATGATAACCGTTTGTAAACGGTAAACGAAAAAATAAATTCATTGACTTATTATTGATGGTCTTATTATTACTAATACTGTTAGTGTTGCTACTATTATTGTTATTTCGGTTATATTGTTCTAGCAAATCCCGTTTTGTAGGGGACTCATGGAATTCACAACAACTGCAATGTTCACGTTTGTAATTTTCTGAATAATCTAAACCGACTGAGTTTGTACTTTGACTGTTACCATTGTGATATTCTTTTTTTACAGATAGTCGCCTCCTCGAAGACTTAGTAAAGTTTTTAGGTTTTGGTTTACGAGGTATAGATCGATGAATAATGCTACTGGGCTCTAAACTACCACTTCGATGATTGCGTCCACTTTTATGCCCTATTACAACAGATGTATAACTGGGTATATGAAAGTGATGTGGACAATCGAACACTGGTTGAACATCTAAGGAAGAAGTAGAGAATGAGTAAGAGGATGCGGATGATAGGCAAGGACTACCTGTTGGTGATGTATTCATAGAATTGCTCACATCATTATGTGAATGGTAATCTATTTGTTCACAATAACAACAGGATGGGTAATTACTACGATTTACGCTGATTGGTATGTTTGACGCGATAATATGATGTGACTTGCGGTTCAATGATTTGATATGCTTCCGTTGATATTCTTGAATATTACTTGAGGCACTTTCACTGGGAACTACACCTTTACTGGCATCTCCAAAACAAACAGAAGTATAATGATGTTCAGATGGCTTAGCATTAATAATTTTGGAAAACGGTTCAAAGGAGTGAGCTTTCTGTTTTATACGTCTATATCCAGAAGGATTTGATACATCTATCAGACTTAAATCCTTGGTTTCTGTTCGAGATGAGTTAGGTTTGGTGGTTTTAAGGTGTTCAACAGATTTATGACAGCTACAATTGCAATATTTAATGCGTTTTTTACCGCAAGGAGTAATAACAGTTGAAAACATGTCGTAATATTGCACATCTTTTCTGTGGTTTCTTTTAAATTTTGTTCCTCCTTCTAAGTAGCATAATCGACGCCATGGTGAAGAATGTTGTACCTCGTTCCTTGCGTTGAAGGATGTTTTGCCAACTGAATGTTTTCGTAATGAAACTCTTTGAATTGTATCGATACATCCTAAATCTGAATAAGGTGAAGATGAAGATAGCGTGGAAGACGATTCTGAATAAGTTGATGGTGAAGGAGATGTAGATTCACCTGAGTGGGTCAATGTCGTTAACGATTCTGGAGGAGTATTACAAGATGAAATCACATTTTTGCTCGATGTCCTTTGTGGTTGAGAATCATGTGATATGCAGTGATTACCATCATGATGTTCATGTGTAGATCTGCACAGTTGATCTGGTAACTGTAGGGGAAAAAGTGATAACTAAAGGGTCAAGAATCCAAAATAGACAAATTCAATAAAAAAATAACCTTTAAACATTGATAACATCCAAGGTTTCAATCATTTTCAAATGGAGTTAAAATTAAGTGTTTGATATCAACAGTTCAAAACAGTTATACAAAATACCTTTCTGCTTCGAATTCTTCTGATTGTACACTAAATATAGTTGAATTCTTTCTGTACTACATATTTTAACAAAAACCACGAGTATTTAGTATTAGCAGGTCATACACGGTTGTATTTTGTTGCTAAGATAAGTAATGTATTCGTTAAATAAGAAATGAAAGATAAGACCATTTTTCAGACACTGTTTAAAAACAAACAATTAAAAATGTTTTCAAATACATATGGAAAAAATATGGGGTGGCGTTCGATTTTAATAAACAGGTATCCTAAGGTAAATAACCCCACATGTTGCTGGTTTGAAATATTCTTCAGAAGATTTGTCTTAAAAACGTTTCATTACTGTAACTGAAATTAAATAAAACCTTGATTTTGGTGTATTTTTGTAGCCATTTAACTATTTATGGTCATGATTGCCTTCTGTACTTTAAACAAAAAAGAAGTTTATGGAGATGTGGTATTATAGCTTTTAACGTTGCGGAAGTAGATATTATTATAGTGGTACTGGAATAATGGACTGAGTTAAGTTAGACAACCATTTAAAACTTGGGAGCACTGTGTATTCGTTTCTGTTGGGTATGCAGTGAGAATCTAGGAACCTGCAAACTGGGATCAAGTATTGTGCATTACGTCACGTCCGCAAACGCATAACCTCTAGACAACTGAGCCATCATCCAATAGTCCGCAAGTCTAATTTTAGTCATTTTATGATATCACATGACACTCTTCCATTATTTTTGGTGGATACCCTTCTCACACTTAACACGGTTGTATTCCGCTAGTCACGACTCCTCACTAGAACACCTAAAATTTACTCTGGAAGCTAGTCACTAGTGAGCACATGATAACTGTCAGTATTAAGTTATGGAGAGTGTTAGGTTTTATCGAAATCATGAACCGATCTAGGCAACCATTAAAAATCTGGAAGCAATGAACGGTCTTGTTGTTCTAGCATTGGTTGTAAACTCTCATGTTGAGGAGTTATGTACTAGAAACGGTCGTTTAATCCTTCAAATTTTTCAATGCTTGTCTAACTTAAGTCCGTTCATCATTTTGAAAAAAGTTAACAAAATCCACAATCTCATGCTGTCGATGATTACTTATGTTGGTTTGTTTGATAAAACGTTTGGTGGGTTAGGAAACATTACAAACTATTATGCTGTACTACCATCAACACTAGCATTTGAATGGAAAGAGTTTATCAAGTAACCTTTGATATAATTAGATATTCTTTACGATCAGTAAACATATGAACCTTAAATATCTACACATATAATTATTCAAGGATAATGTAGGCATTTTGCCTATCGTTTAATTAACTGAAGAGATATGTTTCTAGGTATTTTTTATCCAATTTTGTGAATTGTTGACCAACGGTAAGTATGATTCACACAAGACTATTTACTACCTGTAACAGAGCAAGTATAATCCTCAGTGGTTCACTCTATATGACTTTAAGACTAAGACACATGGACTTTAAACGTGACGAAAATGCATCGGTTTGTATTACTTAATCGAAAACAGTCGAAGAGTTGTTTATGTCTAGTAGGGCAACTAATTTACTGATTATGATATTATAGGTAGTTTTTCTGGTAGAAATGACAAATCTATTGGAGAGGTTGTACACTTTCACTATAAAAAAAATAACTGAGACATGTGTTATGCCTAATAAGTCACCAGTGGTCTCGATGCTATATACCAGTTAGGGTCAAAGTGAACTAGAAAAAGAGAAATGAGTACCAAATCGACAGGTGATTTCCATCAATAAAATAATTGAATATTGATTTGTTTTGTGTTTGAACGTACAGAATTCCTAGTTATTATTCACAATATGCCTGTACCCTATGTTTGCAGATTTTATCCAGTATAGCTCAAAATTAGTCAAAATGATTGAGATACGTCCATTTTTAATCTTTTAAATTTCGAAAATATCGTGTTCCATAATTTTTTACTTTTTTCTATCTGTATTCATAAGGCTTGGTTTTCTACTCATTTTTCTCTTCCTGGTAACTTCCTGTCTCACTATTCCAATGTTAGATATATCAACCTGTGCTTATTTAAAATTTACGCCATGTCTTACATTCTCCAGTTTTGTCTTCCTACTAACAAAAAACCTATTAGTAGGGAGGTGAATATTCAAAAATGAATTCCGTAGTCATACAATTGTCTCCAAAAGAAATAAAAGCAAAACAGAACTTGGATTGCAAGATAAGAACTAAAAACTTCCTGAACATGGTCTTCACTGTCTATAGAAATATATACTAATTGAGAAAACATGAAATTTAGAACTTTTTTAGCGTGTATCATAAAAATTTCTCAGAAAACTATGGCTTCTCTTTACAAATCTAGAGTGTAAGTAATGTAACCAAAAAGTTTGAAAATAACCTACATAATTTTTATTGTTCTTTTCATAAGAAATCGCTTCGAGATTTTCATACTCTCCGATAACATGACGTCTTTGTGAACTTATAGAGTTAAGATGATTACACTGAACTTTAAAACGTGGTTTATTTAAACATTCTTTAATTGAAAATAAAGTTCCCTTTTGTGTCATGCATAAATCAGGAGGTTGACCACAAGTATTCAATTTATCTACGTCTGTACAAGTTGAATCCTCCAGTGGACAAACTTCTGTATTGGAGTTGTTATCTTTATGATCATCAAGGTGATTTTCTTCTGTTATTAACCTTTGTTCTTGATCCCAAGATTTATTAGATGAATGACTTGTTATAGATTCTTCACCAGGTTGGCTATCAGGATTTGTTAGATCTACTGATAAACCCATAGTTGCTTCTTCACTTCCTATACTACAATTTGTAAGTATAAGATTACCAGTGGAATAGTTACCACCACTGCTTGTACGCATTTCAAAACTTGACAGTACACGAAATGTTGCATTCGAGTCAATATCTGTCGAACTTGCTAAACTTAGCTAAATAAATAATATATTAAAAATGGGGTGGTAGCAAGGAGAATTGTAATGATTACAATATTAGTATAGAAAAATAGATCAAGATTAAACCAAACTAGAATTAAATGTAAGCACTTTGATCTTAACTGGTTTATGTTGAACAAGCCATTAGACCAAAATTAACTACTCATTTTTCTAAATCTATTATATTAAAAATAACCTGAAAAAATCAATCCTAATTCTAGACCTTTTAGATGGCGATAGTGATATTGATTTGACACAAAAGGCCAGAGTTCACTTAAAAACTTTACCTTCATTTCTGAATCCAATACTCGTTTTAGTTATAAATTGAGCCACTAAATTAATGTACATGTCCTCTTTCCTTCTACTTTCTCATAAATCGAATTTCATCTACTTGGGTTTAGTTTCTTTTTGCACATGAAAAGTTTATTTAAATAATCTTCGATCAGGAGTTTGATACAGTTTTTAATTATATTACTATTACTTTTATCCTAATTTAACCAAATTTATTATTTTGCAAATTTATTTGACTTACTGCCTGACTCGAGTAGTCATTATATTACCGATCTTTCTGACATTTAAAAGCACTAACAAACGTCTGTTGTTTGCATTTGTAATGGCTTCGTAATTTTGCGATTCCCGAAAAGTGAAATATTTACTCTTGGGTTTTTTAACAAATCTTTTTTGTGGATGTAGCGATCTTTCTATGATTTAATTATATAGAATGTCTTCAACAGGTGCTAACAAATATTTGTAGATTATGAAGACAAACGAAAGTATCCGCAACCAAACAGTAATTTGGTGATGGTTAATGGCTAGCTTCGAGGTGAATTTATGTAGTTTTAGTGAGAATTTATGATTGCTGGAGTTTATTCATGTCAGGAGTGAGATAGATGCCCATCTGTACCATTGGATAGTTATTGCCTAATACTATAAATTAACTGAAACTATTGGATTTCGATTCAGTGGTTTAAATGTAATTCGTTCAACTCAACAGTTGAATTATTTGGATTTCATAGAAGGTGGGGTCGTGGTTATAGGTATAAGTCATATATGTAATATTGCACATCGTATTTCTGAACGGCGAAATATATAATTTTATAAATTGACAATGGATCCTATTGTTGAGTAAGGATTCAAGTATGGCACAGTAATGTCTGTAATTATGATATACTACTTTGGAGCTATTCAACGAGTTTCCAGTAGTTTAGCCAAATAAAAAGTAGTATTATTTATAACAGACATAATCTTTCTGCCTTTTAGATAACTATTAATCATTTGTAACAGCAATAAATTATTAAAACACATACCGGTCTATCATTTGTGTGACGTCTATCGTTTCTAAATGCGGCTGCATTTACATAATCAGGTGAATCGATTGACTGAATGTCAATATTACGATTACATCGAACTTTTAGTCTCGAGGCTGTTTGGTTGCTATGCGATACTTCAGATGGATTGCGCACTGAATTAGAAGAAATATGATTTGTTTCGTGACTCTTTTTTGAAGTTTGCCTGGACCCATCAAACTGTTTTTTAGAAGTTTTGTATCTGTATAAAAGTGTAACACATTATAAAATATTAGTACATAGCAATTATATTTTGCTTGAAGCAAATAAGTTCACTGAGTAACTTTCGTTAAAATTAAAGTATCGAATTTCTGCTTATTTATAAGTAATACAATAAGGGTGTGAAGAAACAATTTTATTTTGCTTTGTATAACTCTTAAAAACAGAGCGATATTACTCTTTGATAACTTCATATGTACATATAGACATTGTTACGACATTGTGTAAGATTGCCTTTTAATGCTTCCTTGTAATTGACACTTTTTCTGACGGGTGTTAATATTCCCAAACTAGACAACATCGTTAGTGTGGATTTGAAGACGGTGACATTTTTCATTTGGTTATTCTATTTCCTAACACGCCTGAAGCCTCTTCTCGGTTTACTGTCAGTCCCTAGCTTGAGTAAAACAGAATTGTTAATTAAATGTTAGTAAACCTACCCCAAAATAAGGCAGGAAAAGACTACATAAATGTATTCTAGTGCCACGCTCACACTAACAGTGGTAGTGAAAATCATAAAGATCAACTTTATGAGAGGCTGGAGTCCGTCGTAGAGAAATGCCTAAGAAAATACCTGGTTGTCCTGATGGAGGACTTAAACGTCAAGGTAGGGATAGATAAAACAAGGTATGAATACGTCATGAGGTGATATGAACTGAGATAAAGGAATGAGAACGGTGAGAGATCGGTAGATCTGTTTAATTTTAACACCATGGTCACAGAAAACTTGGCATTCCCTGGTAAACGAATACACAAAGCTACATGGTTTTCACCCGATCCATCACGTATGCTTGAATCGGAAATTCGGATGGTTCATAGAAAGTATAAGAACAAAGAGTGGAGCTGATATAACTTCAGATTATCACCTGGTGGTCGCCAGGGTAAAACTGAAGATAGGGAAAAGTATTGGACAATTGAAGAAGCAACGCTAAAATGTCTAGGTCATAACAATAGCTAGATAAAAGAATGGATCGCTACAAACAACCAGGATAATATTCAATAAAGGAAAACTAGGAAGAAAGCAGTTCACAACAATTAAACTAAAGTAAGGAAGGTCAGGGCACAGGCTGAGTAAAGGGAAGTAAATAAACGAGTGAAGAAGAGCATTAGAGCTGACAATTGGAAATATGTAGGTTTGGCAATTACAGAAGAAAAAGCTGCAAGAGAAGAAAATATGAGAACAAGAAACTTGTAGGGAAATAAAGAAGACCAAGCCAGCTAGTCAGTGGCAAAGAAGGAAAACCAACCATTTAGAATCGTAAGCAGTATAATAGGTGGGTAGAGCCCTTGAAAGAACCCCTGAACAAAATAGTAATTATAAACCTAAGGGACATCAAAGCAGCACACAAACCTCCTTATAAATGATATTCCATTAACAACATTTAAAGGAGTTAGTACTTTCATCAGACAAATCAGGAATGAGTAAAAAACTGGACCAATAAACACACCTCCTGAAGCACTCGAAATCATAATGGAAATTTGACATGAACAGTACACAAACATATTTCCACTTAGTAGCTATTGAAAATAAGTCTTTAAGCTGTTTCTTTCAAAATGGTAAAAAGTTTAATAGAAAAACCAAACCTGGATTTTTGTGGAGCCGGAGTATTTATCTGATCTTCCTGACCTTCCATATCTTCTGCTACAATTGACGAAGACAACACTTGTAACTCTTGACTTGCACTCAAATTAGGTGTACTAACACTATTTGTGTGTAAACACTGTTGCTGAAGTAAAGCTTGACGATATTCAGCAAGCAAACGATGAGCAAGTTCAGTTTCCTGATTCAATTTAAAATGAGAAAATCGAGATTGAACATGAAATTTGAAGGGAGGGAATATAAAATACAAAAGAAAGCTAGAAGTATATTAAGAAATGCTGTGGAGTATGTATAACATCCATAGATCAAATATTTTAAAAATCTGTACTTCACAGAGCAGATATTAATGAAGATTTGTAAATCTCTCCAACTTATGGGTTATATACTAGGTAACCTCTATGAAAAGGACTAACATATTTTAGTTTACAAAGTATGGGTCAGGCCACTCCTAGAATACTGTATGTTGATTCTGAGAAGTGTTAGCATTAAGATTAAACTTCGGTTGGAACCCGTCAGGCGGCGCTTTACACTCTATATTCCTGGATATGAATGCTCATTTGTTAAAGCGGAGATAGACTTATTCTAATCTTTTTCTTCAACATCCTAAATAAACTTTTACGTCTATTTATGCGATCCAGTACCAAGAACAGGATTCGAAACTTTATTAAAACTAATATTTTCTCATTTTAAATACACAGTCTACATAAATTATTTTGCTAAAAATTTTTGAAAGTTGAATAATTTTGCTACAATCTGTCCGTGAAACAAAATCCTTATCATAGATTTTTACACTACATCAACGATTACCTCTCGCGTGATACTGCCTTGGAAATGCTTACATCAGTGACAGTCTCACTATACTAATAAATTCATAGGGATACTGAACGTTTGATTACTTTTATTAATAGGTAAACTTATCAATCTTCCTTTCTTGCTGATATTTTTCTGTCCTTAATTAATTTGATTAGTTTAAGTGGAATCTATCCCAATCAGTATGTCATGAAACAATGTAGCTTATATATAAAGAAAGACCTATCACGTTACTTTTTGCTGATGTTGTGCTGTGCTATCTTTTTTGCTCTTTTCGTCGCCAGTAGTGATTATTGTAATTGCCCAATGTGACAATGGAATTACTCTTTGAATCAATTTACAAAATGGTGTTCCAGTCATTCTACTAAGAAAATAATGGTTCCCAGCCGCTGCATCACATTGCGATAATACTTGTTACAAATAACCTCTCAAAATAATTTACGATCCACGTATTTTCAAACAATTTATCCTTATATCTTTGTTCTAAACATGTTACATATTTTAATGTATCAACGTCATTGTACCCACATACCGGTATCACTTTTGTAATTATATTCAGAATATGGTTTATTTATTGATATATTTTACCACTGACCTATTTCACAGGTAAACTTCATAACTAACTAAATCGATTGATAATGAACTACAGAAGTAACATTATCGGTTGTGTTTGTATATCTTAGTTATTAGTATCCAGGATTGAAATAATTAATCTCTGTTGGGATAGGGATTCTTGGGTGTTATCTGCTTTTACAAATTGACTATGTTATGTATGATAGTTTACAGAAGAACTGAGATCTTTCGTTTTGCCTCATTTCATACTTGTTGGCTAACAAGACGTAAAACAAAACTAATAGATTCAGTCCTGGGTGTAAACCACGTTAAGATTCGAACTCTAACAGTCTATGATAAATATAATAAAAATTGATCAAACTAGTAAACTTCATGACTCATTGGCTAAGTAGTGAACAATGTTTTGGCATTTGAAATGATGGATTCTGGGTTTGAGTCGTATATAAACATATGATTAACTTAAAGTGACGAATCTCCAATCTCCTTTTTCACTAAAACTCGCTATTCAGTATATTATCATGTAGTTAACAGTGATGGATATGAATTGTGAATAATTTATTTACAACACATTGAATTGATAAGCGTTTTCTTCGTCACTTTGATGTAAATAAGCTGAAGTTGCGTTATAACGGAAAAATATAGTAATGGAATTGATCTTTGGATGATATTCAAAATAATGATGGGCTAGACTGGATACTCAAAAGATACACTGATACAGTCTGAATCACGTTATAAACACACAAGCGATTCTCAACCAACCACTGAGAGCTCGGTTTTAGGCCTCATAATAATTTATTTCATATGAATACAAGCAATTCACACACAGAGAAGTCTACAGCGAAATTTATATTTTTGGTTCTTAATCAGAAGCATGTTCACACCACTGTCGTAAAATGTAGCGAAATTTTTGACAATCCTCTAACCATTATGTATAAATAGTAGTTTTTTATGTCAATAATTTCTAGATGGACTTTATATATATCTACGGTTAATATGCTTGTGTTATTTTAAGAAAAATACTTTGTTGTATCAATTAATAACCTTTTATTAGCGTGAGACAATAGTCAATAGTCCCAGTGATTTTAGTTCAGGTTTATTTTTCTCATCACACGTCAAAAACCTTTTCTTCACAATCCTCGTTAAAAATCCAAATATAACTACATTATTCTAGTCATTAAGAGTATACTTACCTTTAAATTAGTTAGACTCAATAATTGATGAATATCAGAGTTTGTAAGTAGATGCATGGTGCCAGATGATGGACGTGGTATACTACACTGATCTGATGAGCTAGATGTTGTTAATAACGTGTTGCTTGACGGTTTATTTTCGAGTTCTTGACTATTTTCCATAGTATCATGTACACAGTTTTCATCATCAACCACAGATTTACTTTTCAGTTGATTATTAGAAGACCAAGTATTAATTACTGATCTTCCTTCCCTATTATCGTTTGTTGGGCTACTTACTGATCCATTCACATCCACGTTAGTTTGTCGATCGTTATCACATTCATCTTGTTGACGTAATGAGTGATGTATTTCTCGAGAACTTCCATGATCGCATGATTGGTCAGATGCTTCCTTCCATAAGAGATTAGGTCGACTGACTGGTGTAGTTGGTGTCCTGGAAAAGTGTCTCTGGCACATATTATCATTCAAGGTATTTTTTATGATTTGTCGCTTTCCATCCATCTCTTCTCTAAATGTAGCTTCAGTAATTTTTGTAGGAGATATATCAAGATTAACGCGTGGACCGTGATTGAAATTTGAGTGTTGATATCCTGACACATTATACATAGGTCTATTAGAATGTAGTTCGGTAGGTGATGAGCAACAATTATCTGATACGGAATTAACAAACTTTCGTGGTGGAGTGACAGCCAAACGATTAGCTTCGTTTAGTGTAAGGGGACAGGGAAATAGCCGCCAGGATGAAGAGGAAGAAGTACGGAAGTTCCCCTGTTCTTGTTGTGTTGATTGATTTAACGGCCTCGTAAAATTCCTCGGTTGTAAGTTGGACAGAAAATTACTTTTCGGTTCAGAAACCAAATTAACTTTATTCACGTTAGACTTATTATACATCTCATTACCTTCAGGATGTTTTTTCTGATTGTTATTTGATTCTGGATTTGAATCGACATTGGGACATAATGTTAAAGGAACATTACTATCATGTAAATCACCTTTAACAACATTCATTTGTTTATTGCTGTTAATCTTAAATGATGGTCTTGTAGGACTGGGTGGTAGTAAATGAATTGTTGGTGTCAATATCTTAGTCTCGTTTGCAGATGTACTGTTTGAATCCTTTGTTGAAAATTTTAGTTTTTGTGAATTTGCATCATCCATACTAGATTGTTCCAAATTCACCAGAACAATAGTCCTGGAGTTATTCAAGCTAGAACTGACAGACCGTGAATAGGATTCACTAGCCGATCGTTCAAGACGTCCAGTTTTTGATGTCGACTGGTTATTAATATTTTGATGTGCTGTGGATGATACACGGTTAGACATAACGCCTAAGCACTTTTCCTTTTCAGATCTAGTAACGTGATTTTCATAGCACTAAAGGAATATAAGAACAATAGATGCATTCATTTTTTGTTGAAGAAATGTGCAAAGCTTCTTATCATATGTATTAATTACAGAATTGATAAGTACGTTGAACATTTACTTATTTTATGAAATAAAACAATTTGAACTAACCGACTGCTATGAGAAGCACAAAGATTTCATCAAAAATCTTTAGTTTTAAATTTGGGTAACTCTGTGAATTACTATTATTTTTCTCAATGGACTACTGTAATATAACATGTTAGTTTAGATTTGACAGGTAGGTTGTTGAAGTAAACTGTTGATTTTAATTTCCAGTGTTTAATGATGAAAATCAAATAATTTGTTAACGAAGACAGGTAAGTTTAGTGTAACATGATGTACTAGCCTATAGATTCAATGCTATTGAAGATACGCGTGCACTACAATTTGAGAAGTTAGTTCTAACTCAACTCGTAAACTTCTCTTATTACCTGTCTATATGTTCATAATCCCTATTAATACTTCAAAATTACATAATAAAGTTGCAATAAAATAGGACTGATATCTCAAAAATGTGCCACCATTGGGTGAGAGATACAACACAAAATGGGATAGTTCACATTTAATCTTCTCATTAAACTTTTATTTATTGATTTACTGCGAAACTTTCATTAAGAATTCTATTTATTACAGTTGGATTCCACATCATAATGAAAAATAATCATATTCTGATAATTAACCTACATTTCCAGATGTTTGATAAGGAAGAGGAGCTGAAATATTCATCGCAGTTCCTCGACTAGTAGAATTGCTTGCCCATCCAAACGGAATGCGATGTTTGGCAGATGAAAACCAACGTTGAAACTCCTGAAGAGGATTATTTGATGAACTTAACTGTGTACTTGATTTATGGATATGTGATGATAATCCATCAACTGTTCTTTTAGAATTATGACGGTTTTGTATATATCTAGTAGTTACAGCTTCGAAATCAGGCTTCTGAACATTGGCTTCCGGAGCTATTGAAGTTGAGGCTTGAAATCGTCTAGAAATAAATGAGTTCATAAGTTTTGCAATTTGAAATTCGTGAAATAAAACATACTAGGTAACCATTTTATTAATATCAAGAGTTGAATTTATTTTGTATATATTTTAAGACAAAGTTTCGAAAATACTCCCAGCAAAGAGTATACATAGAACAGCTATTATAAAAGGTAATATGTAAAATATTAATGATCACTTTGAAGATGTTAAATATAAAAATATGACTTTCATCTAATATTTTCTACTTTATCAACTTCGACGCCCTACAAGTTCCGGTTTACACAACCATTTTAATTAGTTTCCTGGAATAAAGTTCTCAAACCTAAGTTATATTTTTCATCATCTGCATATTTGATGTCAGTTTGCGATAAAAAACTGACTTCAGTTGGATAATTATCGGGACACCAGGGGACATGAGGGGATTGTTTCCACCAAGTCCAATACTTCATAACGGTACACATCCGTGACCTTGGAAGGAGTTGAACCTAGAACCTTTAAGTACGACGATGAGTGGGTTAATTTTAGACTAAAGATAAATTCGGTTAGCTGACGGAGATCAAAAAATATTGTAATACCAAAATACTTATAAAGTTTATACATCTACTTGATCTTCATATATCGATTGCTATCAGTCGGATTGTTTGACAATAGATGTAAACGATTTATACCTTCGATAGCTAATGAGGAGGAAAGTAATTGACAACCATTTATTTTATAACGAGTCCTTAGCTTACTATCGTGGATATAAACCTGAGTACAAATACTAATGAAACATTTGAAGAGCATAGTGAAAAAGCACCAATATTTGTTTCGAAAGTGAAAATAAGTGTTCAAACAAAATAAGAATTAGTTAAACAGAATTGGAAGTGACTTTTCTTACTTCAGAATCTCTGATTGACTTAGAGGGTTAAAACACACTCTCTTGTTAAATAAAGTGCTAATAAAATGCACTCTTTTAAATCTCTAACAAAATCCCTAAAAATATTTAAATTGTATTTTTGCCAGGAGAAATGTTGAAGGAGGATTGGTTACTTGTGTATAAAATTTATCCAGCTGCCTATAGTCGTGTACAAAGTAGATAATAATTTATTGTTGCATATAATATTCATACACAGTTGTTATAAGGAGAAAAAACAGGAAGGTCATAAGGAATAGCCAATTGTTTTAGACATAAATATACCGTCTGAATTTAGTGGTGATATGCTTTAGTGACTGAGGTTCTGAGGAATATTAATTAAAATTCAAAGATGTCAGTCAGGATATTACGCAACTGATGTCGCTAACGTATACTTGTTTTATCCAGACAAGAATAAATGAGTGATAACCGTTAGAAATTACTTATGGACTAATATTACACGTATATTCTTGTTGTATAATCATTAAGTACTTATATTATATGTATGTTCATATTCCCTTCATTATAAGCTTTAATTTGACCTATTGACTACTATCACACAATCTACTATTCTTGAGATATTCCCAGTTTTTTATTAACAGTTCCACACAATGACAGCCACTTTCGGCCTGATCTTGTATAGTTGTTATTTTCTATTTTATGGAGTGATTTTGTCTGATTTGTTTGTATACAAACCCAGTATGTTTGAAATATACGATTTGTATCGCGGAGGCTGTGATTGGCGTTCTGGGGTTAACAGTCAGAGCTAGCCGAAAAAGGACCAATAAGAACTCTGGGCTGCTAGTTATGGTGTATGAGTCATTAGTTGGTCGTATAAGTCAGCATATCTAAATTGACAATCGTATTTCGCGATAATCGTATAATTAAGAACATAATATTAATTATTAATTCTTGACCTTGGTTTGAAATAACTGCATCTTCATCTAGTCTTTTCTGTCATACATTTTCATTTGTTGAGCTTCCCATTAGAGATGATCAATGTGACCATTAGAACTAAGCTGCTAAAGTTCTGTTTGCTGTGATGATTAAGTTGGTAATAAGTATTATCTAGAACTTTTTTTGAAGATTAATTTCACTACCAAATACTAACAAACTTTAGTGAGAACAACTTAATTTCAAGAGTTTAGTAGGAGTAAATAAAACGTTTTGTTAAAGAATAGACAGTTTAACCAAATAAATTTTCTTCAGTCATACTTAGACTGAACGGTTATTACGATTAAATCACATAGATTTTAGAAATTACTTCATTTGAGACTGAGGTCTGTAATGTCGTTGGCTTAACCCGCTCAGTAATGGTAGAATTCCACCACTATTTGAATGAATTAATTCATGCCATAATTTTCGACCGCTTGGGAATGTAGGACCTGAACTTGAACTTAATCCACGTTTATTTGACTTTGATGGACTTTTAAAAGTAACGTTGTTAGCAGAAGTACATAGAGAGGCTGCGAAACCAAATGACGTTTTTCTAGCTTCGTTTGCTTCGAAATCAGCTTGCATGATAGAATTGCTTGAACTACTTGAAGTTGATGAACTGCATGATTGATGTTGTACAGCATGAACAAGATCAATTTTCTTAATACTGGGGGTACAACTTGAAGAGGAAGAGGAAAATGATGCTCTTGGGGAAACTAACACATGTTCAGAAGAGCTATCTGAGGAGGCTAGAGATGAAGGAGATGACTGTTCAGGACATACCTCTTTTTTACCTAATACAGCGTTCACTGCTGGTAAGTGAAGTGGACTTAGAGGTTCACAGTAGTTTGTATTCTCATGTCTGTTTGTCATCTCACTTGTAAGAGCTATGTTTGGTTTGATTTGTTCTTGATGATGACGTTTTGTTTGACGATGTTTATGTGAACGATGACTTCTAGTAATTTTATGTTCTTCAGTTATTTCACTTGTGTTATGTTGTTTATTTTGAACAAAAGAGGAATCTTCATGATTTTTCTGCGTTTCTTTATTGGTAAGAGGTGCTGAAGAAACACCAGTTATAGAAGACGGTGGATCATTGAAAGTGGTTTTCGATTCTTTCGATACCGCAGAAGTTATGTTTGCTCCTCCACTTTTGGAAAGGAACCATCCAGTTGGCTTTAAACATTCACGTCCAGGAAGACATGTCACACAGCCTTTGTTTAAGAGTTGGGAATCCAACGTTTCAGCACCACTTTTAAGACTCCAGTGACCAACAAGAGTTCCGGACTCACTATCTGCATTTTGTTCTTTAAAATCTGCGTTTGTAGTCGTTATTTTATTAACAAAAGTATTCTGGATGAAGTTTGAATTACATGAAACAATGCAAGTAGCTTCACTAGATCTTCTTGGAGAAGGATTAATCCTGAAAGTCTTGTTATCACTAGTCAGGGCTGTAGTGTTCGACTCATTTTTAAACGGATCCATTGATTTGCATGGATTAATTAATCCACCTATGTGTTGTGGATCAGCATTATTTGGTTGTGTTCTTTGCGATTCATCATTGACTGGTTCCATATCATACTTAGTGCATTGCTGACCTAGGAAGTAATGAATTTGGAAAATATTGACAAAACATTTAATTAAGCTTATATAAGAAAACATTTACAAACAAAATCCGTTACTGAATCTTCCAGAAATAACTTATCACACCACATTTCAAACGGCGCCTGATAAGATAACAAGATGTCAAGCAAAACCAAACCAAAATTTGAATGAGGTTTGGGAAATATTTATAACCTTCAAAGTGTGCTAAATAAGGGGAACTCATTTGAAACCAATAGAAGTTTCTGGATGCAAAAGGCAAGCTGGTAGTCAATAAACCTAAGAAAAAATATAATATAAACAACTATTGAACATTTTTAATTTACTAAGCAACAGTTTATCCAGTCGAATGGATTGTTTCAATTCTCTAAAAGTTGTTTCATTTGAGTAATTAGGTTGCAACCCATATAGTGATATTTTATACCTTGAAAGATTCCTTATTAAACCACCCGAGATTGGCAAGTAACTTCACAATTAAGTTTCTGTAATTTCTCATTGTATAGTTTATCATCACAACACAAAATAGACATGTTTTGTGTCATTAAAAGAGATAAAAAACAAAACATGAAATCAACTGCTTTTGGGAAATTTAAAAGTACTTATTAATTAGAAGCTCTTTATTAAGCTCAAGAAGAAAATAAATAACAATGTTAAGAAGAAATTCCTTAAGTGAATACTTAGATATTGGACATCCAAAGCGCAGCACCAAAAATAACACCAATACGATCATTTTATGATTGTTGGATTATGAGGACAAGGTATACGTCAATGATAAAATGTCAACGCTTTTACTTGAAACGTTTGACTTTAAGTTTCACTGGATGTTACTGAAAGATACGGTATTTGAATTAACCAGCATTAATTTAGAACGAGAGAGCATTAAGTATAGAATACTTACATCTTCTTGGTCCGAACTCAGAATACCAGTCTTTTGATGAACATGCTATAATTGAACCAGCGGGTCAGATTAATTCATAATTTACAGCATTAGTTAATTTGTCCCTATCATGCCCTTGCTTGTAATAAACTGAAAATTATCCAAGTAAGTTACAACTGTCTACCATATTTTTACTAGTTGAGCCTGTTAGAAAAGTCACTACATAGCACTCGATAGCTATTTAGACAATAAATGACTGTTAACTATGTTTTTTACTAATGGATAACACAAGTTAGTTAAAGTTGAAAGGTTCTGGCTGTTACACTTTGGAAAAAATAATTCAAATTTAGTACGTGTCCCACTACAAAAATTATTAGTCAACGAATATTTGCAAGTTGTAAAAATTAAACTGAAAAAAACGTTTCTTTTGGATTTTGGTTTTAGGCGTTTTTAGCTGTAAACAAACACCTCAAAGCTTGTAGCATGGTGAATATTCCAACTATATAATAGATTATAACTCTGACAACTTAAAATCGTAAATGGATTAGCACTTTTTTTTAACTCAGTTTATCAACAAAGTTGTTAATTAATAATAGTAATTATCAAAACTTTTTATTACTTGGTTGTTGAGAGGTCGATAACTCTGCAGCAAAATCATTTAATACCTAAGGATGAAAAATAGGATAATATTCATCTATCAAACGTTTTCACCTTGATCATGTAACAAAAATATAGCAAAATAAATTATGAATTGGTAATAGTAGACGATACATATAATATCAAGCTACTGTCCATTTCAATAATCAAATAATTTTCATCAAAAATATATAAAAGCTTAGAATTCAGAGAAGAAACTTCATTTTTATGGGATTTACTGTCAACCTGTACATTCCTTATCAAATCTAAACTGTCTGTAGTGTAAAAGGTGATAATGAAGTTAGTTTCTTTGAAAAGACAAGCTGGAAGCAGCTATCTTAATCGACAAAAGCATGAAAGATGTTCAAAATAAGACTTAATTTCATATATATATACTTCCATTTAGTTTTATCTAAAAGAAACAGCTTCTTCATTATCGCCTTCTGTTATCATGGATGGCTCATATCTGATAACAGTAAGTTAATAAAATCCTTTTTCTTTTCATTGACACCCAGAAGTCTGTTAGCTGGTCAGTTCATATTTACTTCCTGCAACCGAATGTTTTTCAGGGAATCGTCACCTCATACCTTATAAGAAGCTCTTTGGGAAATGAGATATTTGAGACAAATCCCCTTTCAGCCATAAATCCCAGGGTTAGATGATAAATGATGAATGAATGTGGAACGTCAAGTTTATCAAAGTTCTCATCCCAAACGACAAATGTATGGTCTTTACATTTTTGGTAAAAGACAAAGCTTTTATTAACATAATCAAGTTTGTCGTGCTCAAAAAAATAACCAGAATTGGGACGAACAGCAATCATATCGCAATTTTATCTTTTTATTCATTAACTTAGTTGATGAAACTAAATTGAACGTTCATGGTCTTCTCTTTTCTTTAAGAGCTACTGCACTAATGAATACAATAGTACTTTCTGAACATACCTAGATATTCTTATTTCGCCGATTACAAGGGGTTTATTAAACAAGTGCATCATCTTACAACGGATGACGTTTAAGTATATTTCTGAATCTACTTAACGCTCATTTAAAAATTTTCAAGTAACTTTTACACTTACCGGTGAACCAGAATAAGTACAGCGCAGTTCTGTACCTCTTAGTATATCTCTAGAACAAAAATAAAGGAAGAACTACTCAGTTGATGACTTTAGTTTCAAATGAAATTCAGGCAAAATAAAGGATAGATATCTAATAATCACCGGTCTTTAAACCAAAACTTTTAGTTGTTATGAATTATAATTTCAACCTAATGAAGTTTAGTAAACTAACCACAATCAATAGAGTTCAGTGTTAAGACTACTTTATGGCGAAAGGATTTCTGTAAGTACTGACTCAAAAATATCCTAGATGAATTCTTTCGTCTAACCTATATCTCACAGACAAATTACATTTTGGATGTGAAAGAAAAACAGATAAATGAAAACATCGATACCATTTGATAGTGGGACACCAAACTTAGGAAATATGGCCTACAATTAATTAATGTGATTGAGGAAAGAAAACGATTTCTACGGAATCGCGTCCGAATTTCAAAGGCAGATGATCAATTATTTCATCTAGAGCACCGAGTCTATTTTTGAGCAACAACAGTGAATTATCTTTCTTCTATCTGATAAAATATGCAACAAAGTTCCTCCTTTTTATTCTAACTTACCGGTTGCTTCTGCTACATAACAAAAATCCAGTATATAGAAGGATAAGACAGTTCTTGACAAGAGAGCTTTATATTCCTAGAAGTCAAAGATGTGAAACAAACAATGCTGTTTATATTTGTTGTAACTACAGCACTGGGAACACAAGACAACACAAAATACTAAAAGAGAAAGTAACTAGTTAGATAATAAAAAAGGTCAGTATGATAATACGAACTAAGTTACAGAAAACACACGTATTAGCTAAAACTACAATTTACTAAAAAAAAGGAAAAACTAGATAATCTGAGGTATTTACACCAGTCGGCTAACACTTAAGGTCATGATATTTGGCTACTGAGTGTAACTACCAATCACACCGCAATAAGCAGTGACTGCTGGACGATACTACCTCAAATTATTTGCTTACTAACCTTTCATTTTAAAAAAAGTGGTTCAAACAATTAAGTAACGTTATACTAGATGGAAACACTTACTTACAGAATCATACTGTAAATTTAAATATTTACGATATTTATACATGCATAGATAACTGGAAGTAACAACTTACGGAGGTTCCGAGATATGAACCGCGGGTTGTGGTGGGACCGATCTAAAATAAAAGTGAATTACATAGGTTTTCGCCTGGAAGATTATGCTCAAATTTCAGACGATTAGAATAAAATGTTATTGTTGAACCTGAATTAATGTTATTTCAGCAGTTCTATGAAGCTGTTGTTTGTTCAAAGTCCATAATAACTGGAAATTTGAAACAATGTAGGTTGGATCAATGATTTTACACTTGGCTCCAGACGTGAATGGTTTCTGTCCAACCCAGGATGTCACTGAGGTCACTAATGGATGAAGAGTTCCAAGTTTCAGAAAAGCTAATTTCTTATTCTCAATAGTTCTTCGTCCGAGATCAGTTGGTAATTAAAAATCAGATTCGAAGGAAAGTTAAACTTGGACCTAAGGTTGCGAATATCGTTTTCAATAAATGAAATTTATTAGGTTACCGTATGACAGAACTTTTTCAAAATGTCACTATATATCACGTAAGAAATCCAGGTTAACAGCCGTCAATGATGCATATACTTGTTAAAGCAAAATATAAAGATGTATACAAATTGTACTACAACATCCGATAAAGGCCGTATTTTTATTTTTATCGCTGGAAAATTCCCATTACATTAAAACACAATTATATGAACGAAGAATATCCTTTTCAATAATTTCTCTTCAGGTTCTACAATTATTAGACAGGGTACCCTGCCTTAAACTCGGTCAATTTTATATGAATTATTAATTTATGATTGTAGAACCTGATGAGGAATTATTGAAAAGAATATTCTTCGTTCATATAATTGTGTTTTTATTTTTAGGATAATATGGAACTATTAATCGTCAATACTTTATATATTCGGACAACGTTCGTTTGTTTAATTCATCTGTTTCTTTCTCAAACTTTCGTTAAATACACTAGTTTAGTATTCAGTATTTCACCATCTTAGTACTGCTTTGATGTGGTCTTTTTCTTAAGTAATTAATAATTGATATCATGACGTTACTGGGACAGTAAAATATAATTAGGTAATTCGATCTGATCTCTTTAAGTAACCTTAATTTGCAAAAACGAGACATATTGCACAACCAAGAATAATAACAGTCAACTGGACTTCAGTTGATCAATGTCTTTTCATTCTAAACACAATCTACAAGATTATTTTCTTGAAAGTCTTGAGAGAAGATGTGAATCGCTGAGTTAATCAGGTCGGATGCAAAACGGGTCCACGCTTATAAAATAGCTAAGAGGTTGGACTTTGCTATGTATTGGATGACGTTGAAAATCTAGTGCTGATTTGTTATCATACGTGTAGCAGAATATGGGTTTTCTAAGCTGGATTTTTCACGAGGTCGTACGAACATACAGCACACTCTCCAGAGAGAGCTAAAACATCTCCTATGGATTTTTCAGCGGACAATAGTTCGAAATTAAAAAAATTTTCAAATATATTTGTAATAACACTGTAGTATGGTTTTGTTCTTAAAGCCCTACGTGATGTAGTAACTTAAATGATTACAGTTAAACTGAAAAGGATTAGTATTACATTATTCTATCTCTTCATACTGAAACATTTCCCAAATATAATTAAACCAATAAACATACTTTACATGTGTCCAATAATCAATATAGCTACTGTGCATCTGAATGCAAAACTGCCATAAATAACGCGCGCTTTCATAATCCTCCTATGATACATTGTGGAAAGTAAAAATATATTATATTTTCCTTCTAGATATAAATATTAATCGAGAATAGAAAAAGATATTCCAACTTCTAAAATTTACAAAATTTATGACTGAGTTTTTAGTGAAATATGATATCTTTTATACGTTATTCTACTGCATATTGGTGCTTTTTTATCAAGTTATGTATCAGTATTTCGGAAGTTCACCACTAAAAAAATAAGCATTGCAAATATTTCAGGAAAAAAATATTATGATAAAAATGTATACACAGCGATAAGAAGTGAGGATTTTACATTATGAAGGAATATCTACATTTAATTTTAATAAATGCTGTTATTTGATAAGAAAATCACAACAAAGTTTATGCATTTTTGAAACCAATCATTAGCTGTTCATCAAATTTACGTCATTCAATGTCATGATGAGAGACGTTGCTAGCAGTTTCTTGTATATATAGTGTTGTGTGAACTATATGAAGATTCTGAGATAGTTCTTGGTTTGAATTATTGCGATTTAAAACACTGATAAAAATTTATTACTGAATAATTTATAACCAGTTTAAATAAAGCTAGAACAACAAGTGAGACAGAATGATATGGATTCATTATTATTTTCTGTGCTTTCTCACCGGCTGCTTACAACCACATATGTATTGAAAGGTAACATCGAGGTATGATATAATGTGAAACCATGGTATTGATGACGAAAAAAATTAGGATGACAAATGTTATCGATAATAACTATATATATATATATATATATATATATATATATATATATATATATATATATATATACCTGCACAATAACAAGTTTGAGGTCATTTAAAGATAGAATTCAAAAGCATAAAGGAGTGGGTGATACAATAGTTAAATGAGGTTCAGAGACATAAAATAGATCGTGTGATAACTTTAGAGGTTGTAAAGGGTTTACATAAGACTACTTGTTGTTAATAAATTACAATTTATCAGTTTTAGTGAAGGTTCCACTAAGACGCCATATGTTCTACATGAACATGTACATGCAGTAATATTCTCCCTAAGGAAATAATAGTAGCAATTAACTTTCATTCTACATAATATTCATTTTCAAATAAAACGCAAACAAGTAATTCTTACAACGTTACAATTCTACAAAGTTTGGATAACACAAAAGATTAATTCAGTTAGTGATTGCTTATAGGGTGGTTAGGTATAATTTGTTTTGTCTCATGCAAATTCATTAATTAGTAAACAACATTTGGGCTACTGCTTCCATCTCACGTACTAACACTTCTATTTTGGTCTGTAATTCATTCATATCATCAGCTTACTTGAACCTTGTTCCAAGTTCAGACATTTAAAACATTCAAGAAAACATCATTTGATAAAGTTAGGATTAAGGTTTTGGTAGTTCCCATGGACTGCCGTCTACTAACAAGTATCAGAATGATATCTTACTATCAGTTAAATTAATGCGATTGCATAAAGTAAGCCATCTATATTACATGCTCTTAATGTGATGGGAATCACTGAAAATGTTAATAACACTTCGATAAATGATCACGATCGCATATTTTTTTAACTGCGTTTCAGAGACCAAAACGCCGCTTCAGTTAGAAATGTTTCTTTCTGTCAAACTCATTCTCTTAGTTGCGCATTTTCATTATATACTTTGAATGATCAAACCGTTATTGTAAATTTCTCATTGGGGAAATCACGTTCAATACTGTGAAAACAGTGTTCAGTAAACCTTAGTGGATCTAGTGGTTTTTAGTACTTATTATTCCCAGTAAGATCCAATAACCATAAAACTCTGGATAGATGCTTTAACCTGTTTAGGAACCCTTGCCAATGTGCCGCCACGGACACACAAGACACATAACCTAGGAACTTCGAGTCTTATGCCGGGTAGGTTACTATTAAATCAATGAGTTGATGTCCAATGGTTTACGTTTTCAACTTCGCTCGATCCGTCCTACCGTTACACGATGACATTATAAAGTTAGTCTTCCACCCAGCTACTAAATTCTGTGGAGTCATGGGTAGGTACTACTGGAGAGTCTCAAACTAGGACAAAATCGCTTACTGGTACCCCTAGATTTCCAGTGGTCCTGCAGTTTATGTCAAACCATGAATAAAAACATCTTCAAACTACAAAATCTTCTCCACAAAACACTTCCATAGTATCATCGTATTATATTATTACAATATATCATTGTTTGTATTACTTATTCTCCCGCTCTAGGTAACATCTTCACAAATGATTCTAATAGTTCTATTAGTGTCAACCATAAAAACCTTTAAAGGAACTTTGAATATACTTATGTTTTGTCAAGCTACAATCATACACTACTTGATAAATGGTAAACACATCTTGAATGTTATTAGTTATAATTCATTTTCTTATGTATACATGATAAAGAAGCAAATTATGTTCAATAATCGAAATTTAGTAACAAAGCACTGATGAACTTACAAATATGAAATGAACGGACTTTCCTCTTTTTAACAATTGAATGGTAAATGTCTTTCGAGCATACGTAAGGTCTTTAATATGTTCCCATCTGTAAAGTTAAATTGTACAATTTCCTTGTTTAGTTATTAAGTGGGCTTTTTATTATTTGAACATCAGTAAATAATTATAATAGCTGAAAAATTCCTATCACATTAAAACACAGATATATGAACGAAGAATATTCCTTTCAATAATTTCTCTTCAGGTTCTACAATTATATATCCAAACTAATAATCCTAAAAATTAACCAGGTTTAAGGCAAAATACATCATTTACATGCTATAATTTTAAATGATGTACTTTGTCTTAAACCAGGTTGGATTTTTTACTTTTAATTTGGATATAAAATTGTAGAACCTGAAGAGAAATTATTGAAAAGAATATTCTTCGTTTATATACCTGTGTTTTAAATAATTATAAGACTAATAAATAAAATACTCTGGTTGAATAACCAGTTAACCGATTAAAACAAAATTCTATTCTAACATATCACTCTACTAATTGCTAAGTGTTACATTTTAAAACAATACGAGAAAATAACGATAAAACGAAATAAATTCTCACGCTTAAATAAGGAACAAGAAAATCGATGACAGGAATAGTATATTTGGGTATGTTTTACCATGCGATTCTCAAAAAACTTAATTTTTCACTCTTTTTGGTTTCACCAAGACAGATCAGCAGTCAGAAACTTTATGGTGTCATAACTTGACGGTTAAACCTATGAGGGTTTTTCTATACCGTACTTTTAATGTTAACAGTCTATGTTATGTGCAGTGAAGACGAATACTTAACGCATATGTCGTTTCTGATGATCTACCTCCGAAACATTCGGAGATAATGTTTACTAATTTGTCACTAAAATACTAGGACTAAGGTTTTTAGCCCAAATCTATGTAATTTCCCTTACTTATAGAAAGGTCCAAACCACTGAAAAGATACTGTAAGATGTAGTTAGTAATCTTGAGAGATCTGATTTTGTTTACTACATAGCTGTTAAAAACCATATTTGATAAATTTCAGCTGCAAGTCGGCGTTACTTGACCAGATGAGAAACCATTAGTTAAGTGAGAGTGTATTTTCATATTTCTTTAGTAAATGACAGGGAAGATAATCGACATTACAACGATAATAAATGGCAAATAAATTTCGGTCATTACATCACTAATGATTTGGTGAAAGATAAAGAATTTGCACGTTTGTATTGTGATATATTTTGAATTATGGCATCGTGTGTCTTGAGTCACTGATTTCCAAATGTCCGAGGATTTAAGGGGTTTTTAGCTTCTGTAGATAGCTCAGAAAGATAATCAGTGATATATTTCAATATAGTACCTATATATGGGTACGTGCTTTCACACAAGCCATAATCTCGATCTTCAAAAGAGAGAGGTTCATGATAACTTTAATAGGCCTATTTATATTATTTTTAAAGTTAACGGATAGTCAACTAAATTTGTTAATTGTTTATATTTCTAACTCTAGTCACAACCTCGCTCATCGGATGAATAGATTATGCATGACCAGTCTTTTAAAAATACATTCCTATGCTGTATTTTTGACCCAAAACTATTTTTTGTTTAGCACTCTTACACTTTTTAGCCATTCACTTGCATTGATAATCTACAACTGGAAAAACTGAAGGATCCATAAAAATGACGTAAAGCTATACAAGAAATTAAGTAATGTACTTTCTAGCTCTGAATTATGCCTTGAAAAAGATCGGCTCAGGGAATCATCATATTACATTTAACAGCCGTTAAACGTCCGCTAAACAATCATGTATATGACTACAAAACATACATGTTTTGTACATATCTGAACTGAGGATTATAGTGTACATTTCAAAGAAAATAGTGATTTCTGTGAAGTAGATTTTAAATAAGAACTGATTTTAGCAATGTTTTCTTCTCACCATGAGATATATCACGTCCATTCATCGGTTTTATTAAGGTTAGACTTCTGACATACTTAGTGGATATAAAATTTCAATTATTTCTTGTCTATAAGTGAAAACCCTTAAATAGATACTGCCATTCTATTTAATACAATTTATTTATGATAAAGACCAGAAACAATTAAACGGATTATCCTACACTTTAATCAATACATACACTTATATTCAGCATAAACAGAAATCATGTCATTGGGATACTACAGAACCATATATTCTGGTCTAAGAATTGTGTTAGTGCACACACGCATATATAGACACGCTCACTAGTGTTTCATACAATAGAGATAGGTGTATACACCTTTAAACAGTATAGCTTTTGCATGCACAGGGTAGGAATGAATTATATGACCCATGTTTTATTGATTTTCAGTAAGTAGAAGAAAATTGAAAGCTGTTGATACATACAATAAAACAGATTTCTGTAATTTTCTATATTTGTTTTACAAATGATAGATTTTCGAAATCGTAACATTGAAAGTAGATATTACCTATAAAGCTGCAACTTTTATTGATATCGTTAACCGATCAATGTTAAACCACCACAACCCTTTACTGATATAAAGTTACAATTTGTCGAATACTACAATTTATCTAGTTATTTGGGAATCATATTTTTAGTGTGATAATAGAATTTAAAGGTAATTTGTATTGCAAACTATTGCACATCGAAGAACACTCTAGTTTGTCATTGTTTGCCAGTTGATGTCAGTTCGTGAAGAAAACTACCTTCAAATAATATGAAAGTTTTATCATACCATCTAAAATGTATGAATAAATTAATATTTACATTAGTTTCTAAAACTTAAAAATATTTCCGCAAAGTTTAGAAGATCCCTATATATTCGAAAGGAAATAGTCAATGAAGCAACAACTGAAGCCAAATAATACAGAATCTGGATCCACTTCATTTATCTACAACCAATCCACGGAAATTATGTGGGCCAGTTCAAATTATTTCTCAGTAAAATTCTGTCTTGAAATGAGATTTTGAGTAGAAATACGTAAACAGCGCTGAAAATATTTTTCATCTCTATTATCCATAGTCACCATTGTCGATAATGTAAAACAATCGTTCAGTAGAAATAGGATGGAAACTTATTGAACAGAAGAAGTGATGTACATAGAATGGACGTCATTCTCTTTCAGTTCCCATTCTTGCTTTATTCAAGTTCATGAAGGGAAACAACTATATGAGATACTAGTGATTAGATGAGAAGATTTTGTACTTCAAATAACAAAATTAGTTGGTGCAGCACTGCTTTTCTGAGAAATTACTGAAGTATTAAAAGATACTACGAACTTAAATGAAGTACACTCGCACCTCATTGTCCATATCCTGATTACTATACATATTCAAAAAGTCATTATAAATTTGATTCGCTATAATGAAATTTAATATCCAAAACAGTAGTTTATGAGCATGTAAACACCAGAACATACTGAAAATTCTTTGATTTTATTGTATCTCAACAATATGAAGTTTTAAATTTTCGTCATTCTCCAAAAGATGTGTGTTAAAAGTTAAAAAAACCTATCATGTAGTTGTGCGTGAATGGTATATAGCCTATGTTAGTAAACTTCAAATGATGTGTATTTGAAATGAGATCCCCCATATTAGCAATATTATAATTCATTACTATTCACATAAAGTACAGTCAAGATCCTAGTGACAAATGGTGGTTTTTGAGGATAATCAGTATTGTTGGTAACGAGTGAAATACATAGTTGGAACTGACACAGTATTATCATTTATCTGAAGTTAAAAGTAACAATTATTTAAATCAAACATGAAACATAGCTCCCCATCGTATTTTTGGGTTATTTACAGAGTAATCAATACGTAAAATATAACGACATTTAATTTCAACACATAAATGCACGGATTGGCAAAACATGGGCAGCATTTCTACAATTGAAGAACATATGGAACTCAAAACAACTGTCAACTAATTTCAAAGTGAGAATCTTCAATGCGAACGTCAAAATAGTCCTACTGTACGGAGCTGAAACGTGGAGAACCACTACATCTATCGTCAAGAAGGTACAAGTATTCATAAACAGTTGTCAAAATACCAACATTCACTGGCCGGATACTATCAGCAACAGCGTTTTAAGGGAGAGGACAAACCAGCTTCCAGCTGAAGAGGAAATTAGGAAAAGACGTTGGAAGTGGATCGGATATACATTAAGGAAATCACCAATGTGCATTACGACTCAATCCCTAACTTGGAATCCTGAAGGGAAGCGGAAAAGAGGAACGCCAAAACACATTATGCCGGGGAACAGAAGCAGACATTAAAAGGATGAATGTTAACTGGAAAGAACTGGAAAGGATTGCCCAGGACAGAGTTGGATGGAGAATGCTGGTGATCGGCCTATGCTCCTGGACGAGGGGTAACAGGCGTAAGTAAGTAAGTAAGTAAAGTACATATATGCACATAGTTGAATACTAAAAATTCTATCAAGGTATGAATGCCGATGGAAAACTACCGGAAATTCTATTTCACATCATTAATATGCCATAACATTATAGCACAAAAACTTCTTCCAAGTTGTACGCATGCATTTGATGTCGGTGACTTCCCTTAAACATTCTCTTCGTATTCATGCAACACTGATTTTTGATGCATAACTTACTTTAAGTTTGCGATTGTTTGTCTTTGAGGCTCAAATGTAGTAATATTAATACCATTACGTGAAACACCAAGTTCCGCAACTTCATTACTACATGTCTTGAAATTAAAAAATGTATACAATACAAATTCAAATATACGGAAACCTTACATTATAATGGAAGTTAAACTTCCGAACACCATACTTCATCATTCTCCAAAGTCCTATTACTTTAAGGCTGAGGATAACCACCCTTCTAAAGTGTTCAGTGAAAATGCGATATCTAGCGTTTCCAAGAATTATTCCGTTAATTTAGTGTATCGCTAGTATGTATAAGAGACAAAATTTCACTGAAAACTTCTTTTCAATCATCTTAAGTGTCTAAATGTATTTTTTGTGAACACACTACTGTAGCAATTCCAAATCGCCGGATTAAAAAAAGCAAAAAAATGAAATTCAGAGCTTACAATGAAACCTTTAGTGGAAATTATGCTCTTTTATGCACTATTCACACACTAAATGAACGGAAAAAACGCAAGATATAATACATGTATTGACAATTGAGATGCAGATGTGCTACAAACTCACATACACGCATCCTATTCCCGTTTTGATTTGTTTTGGATTTGGATCGCATCAAATCGACGTTAATTATTAATAATAAGCGAAGTGAATGAATGCTATCAAATTGTGTTTACTCTTACAACATGAAATCACCAAATAAATAGACTAATTTCGTTAGAGTTTGTAAATGAAGCTTGAAACAAGCCAATCAATTATTTTTTTATCCTTTATTTACTAAACGCTATCTGCAAAACGAACACATGAAACCTAATAACGTACAATCAAACAGTAAATAAAGCTGTAGTTTTTTTGATGAACAAGCACACGAACTATTGAACTGTAATCACATTCAATCATTATATACATAATACGTCTGTCACTTTCAGTGTAGCTGTATGTATTTAACGAGTACTTGGAATAATCATTTTCACCCTTCGAACAACTGAGTTTGTGAGTATTCGCATAGATATGCACTTAACGTTCCTTAGTGACACATTATGTGATGTGGGATCATTATTTCACTGAAGCCTAATGGAAGTAATATTTAAAGGTTTAAATGTAGTCAAAAAAGCAAATCTAACCAAATTAAAGCCGCACTTTCATGATGACTAAAAAAAAGGTTATTAATAAGTACATTCAAACTATATTCTTAATTTTTAATCTCTCACTCTATCATTTATCCTACTCTTATTCGGAATCCTTCGGTATTCGTCTCGTCGTATTCATTTTCTTTTAATTCAGTACTGCAACTTGAGCTAGCGCATATTTGTCCGGCAGAGTAAATATTTGGCCTAAAGCTAGTCTTAAGACAGCAACAGCAAAACAAACCATAAGGATTACTGAAATTTTTTATTTAACGAAATAAATTAGGGCATTGTCATTCGTATCATGATTATGAACGGCGACTATTACCCACAGGTTCTAATGATGAACTAAATATTACATTATGTAAGAAAAATGAGACGGTTCTGTATTCTATTATATTTTGGAGCGGGATCACAAACATCATTGCAACTGCTTAGCGAAACGTATGGTGTAACTCAAGTCGAATTAAACTTATGTTAATACTTTGGAAGCATACCATTCTTCTCAAGATCAGGATAGGTTTCTCACAACTTTTAAATGGACAACAGAGATAGTATGAATGAGTAGGAAGACTTAGCAAACAGAGTTAGCTTTAATGTAGATTACTTGGTTTTTGTTAATCTATGTATCAGTTCGAGTTTCATAAATATGCATAGATGTTTTGTTGAAAGGGATGTGCACGTCCTGGTAGTAAATTAACCGATGAGTTGTAATGTTTTTCAAAGACAAAATTTAGTTATAACACTTGAAGGTCCTTTTCAACAAATTTACACTTAAACATTTTCACCCATTAATTCAGCCACTACTTTATAAATCAAATGCATTTCCTGACTATGATGTCATTTTTATTACTTCTACCCGTTGTAGATGTGACACTGTCCTAAGTATGTGAAATGTATAAACGTTTTAATATTCACATAACACGACATACTTTTGTGCATTTAAAATTAGTTATTTAACGAAGATGTAGCTCAAATATTTATTTTAGTTCATCGAACTCTTTACTGTGAAGTACATTATATTGTAAACATTCTTAAAATGACTTAAAAATTGTGCTTTATCGATATATAATCCAAATCTTTACCACTACTAATGGGAAAAAGTGATAGTAAGCAGTTTTAAACTTACCATACCAGTAAATGTCCGAACACCATAAAGAGGATTATGTCTAATTTCATCTAGAAAATACCATATTGCATTGTCTTGAGAAACTCCTTGTAGATGAGAATAACCCCAAACTATATCGTCAACATATTCCGTTGTTGACAAATCAAAGGCACCAACTAGAGAACTCTACAACAAAAGTAGGTAAGTTAAGTTTTCATAACATGAGACAAATGATAAAGACAATATTCACCCTTTTCATTAGTTAGACGGAATAGTGATTTTTAGCTTTCACATGTAATTAATTTTATTATTTTTGTCATTCTCCATTGACCACAGCACCTTTTTAATATACTATCTGTAAAATCGCCAGATACCGATTTATAGAAGAATAATCGTTTTGTCCATTTACTTCGGTAACTTCATGCATTTCGTAGTCTGATTCCATCTTTAGGTATAATTATTGTGGTCACATCACATGCTAGAATGAATCACAATCGACTGATTTAGCTTGCAATAGCTTAATAGTGGTGAATATATATATGGTATTTATCACAGACATGTTAAATGAACATAATTGCATATTCATTTTGGAATACGATATCTCACTGACCATGTGAGTGTCAAATGCAATAGTTAAATTCTGTTGGTTATCTTGTGCTTAGTTGTATGATCAATTCAGATGCCGTATTTTTAATCTTTGTGATATTCTTTTGTCTGATTGTCCGTCTATCTATCTGGCTGTTTATTATACTCCATTTTAATATACTGATCTAAAAGTACTTGAGACACGCCAACTAACTAGGACTCTGGGGAGTTTGTATTCATTTCAATACAATTCAGGTTAGACCAGTCTAGTACAGTCCTAGATTAACTTTACTACAGTGCAATTGCTTGATATTCTGTTCTCGGTGTTAATATAAATCTAATTCAGTCATAAGAAGTCTAAATATGGCGTTACTCCTATACTACTTTCATTTCAGTCAAGTTGTGTCCATTCATTCTAATTATATTTTAATTGTTTATTACTACTGTACATGCTAGTGAATTCAATCACTGAAAAATAAATTCAAGAACGTTTGTATTCCAGTTCCTCCTTAATTCGCTTGCCCCAGATCATTGATTATACAGATAACCGATATAAAAATGTTAAGTTCAGTAACAGGAGTGTCAGTCAGTTGTACATCTATAAAAATCGTAGTATTTTATAGTTATTGCTGCTCCAACAATCTGAATCACTTGAATAATGGATTTCATGGCGTTAAGAGATTAGCAGATAAATGTTTACACAATTATCAGTAATATATGTTCCTCAATGTTTATTTTTGAGAAATTGATCTGAATTAGTAGATTAATTTTCTCACTAAAAAAGTTAACACCTTTGAAAAAAATCAGAAAATATTCTTTAGTTTGCTAAATAAGTTAGTTAAAGTGGCTACGGTTACACTTAAGACGTGGTCATTAGAAATTGGAGTGAGTGATTTGAATTATCATAGGTATCTTGCCTAATTACTTTGTTGTTAACAGAACGGGTGGCTTTAGAAGGTGAGTCTTTTAAGACTAGGTACAACTGAACAGCGTTTTGCGTTAATAGTTAACACGCCGGAAGTAAAACAGTCATCTTCAATGGCAACGAATGGTGATCACATTTTACCATAAGTTGGTTTGGGTCCGGTTCGCAGGCTTTTCAACTCAATGGTCTAAAAATATTTTGTCAGTTTAAGAGCTTAAAGCTCTTGAGATATATTTCTAGGGGGTTTTGGCTGCTCACAATCAACGAATTTAGGTTCAAGACAAAGGAAATGTCCAATAATTCGCTATTTTCAGTAGATTTCAAAATTTCGCCATTTCATAATGAAAACCACGCCAAGATATCATTTTACTGGTTTTCTTGTAGCGAGTATAATGCGAAACATTAATTTGGGTACAAACTCCAAAACAAATAATTAAAATTACTCCCGTAATCAAGAGCATGATAAAACATTTTTAGATTGTTTATAATAGCTATAAAGCACATATATCAATAAATATAGTGAAGCAACGTACTTCCGAGTGTAAGTTTCTTTCTCTCCAGTTTGAAAGTGTAGTTTCAACGTCCACAAAATCCCCAAACTCAGCTGCAAATCGAAAGAAAGGCTAATGAACAATGTTAGATCACTAGTCTTCTGCAATTAAAAAACACTATGGTATCGCTACAGAAAGTTTGGAACGGAAGACAGCATGTTGAGCCTAAATAGCGATAGTGGAGCAAGTAAGTTCTAGTATTCAAACCAAATAGTTTTTGTAACCGTTTATTTCTTGAAGATCTCGTAAAAGTTTAGTTTATGTCAGTCTTGGAAATTCACATGCTAGTTCAATATAAGGTCTTCAATCTTTGCATGTACATATATTTGCAATTCTTACAATAAAATGTACCTTAACCTTAGTAAACATTCAAAATAAACAACATACAACCGTTAATTCATCAAACAGACATCAAGGCTTATATTGTGTTATCACCTTAATATAAGCGGAATTCTCAATCTCCTTTAAAATACACCAATCTTCGGCTAATTTATTGTCATAAAGTGATAAAATATAATACCATGTGAATCAGCCTTCTATCTGTAATAAAAATTACTTTACTGCGAAATAGATTAGAATAAATAGGAGTGGACTAGGAGCTAAAATAAATGGTACGCCAATTTAATATATTGTTTTTTTCAAAATGGACATTGTTTCAAGTGGTTGATTTCAATCATAAGGTAGCTAACTGATCCTTAATTCCCTTCCAAGAACATAATTAAATAATTAAAAGCGACCTTTCAGATCTTTCATGGTAACCTTCAAATAAATGTTTTGAATTAAAGATTCTTTCGGGAAACTTCTGAATTTATTTAACATAACACTTTATCAAAAAAGAATGCCACCTAAATTGATAGAAAAAATTATGACGTAGGTCTGTAGATTGTAACTAATCCTTAACTTCATTTATGAAGTGTGGTAAATCATGTTTCAAATGAATTAAAATGTCTAATCGATATGAATTGTTTATTTTTGACACCTTATATATCTTCTTAGGTCAAAGAATATACTTTAAAATATTTGAACAGCTTACGAGCTCAGCAGTTACTTTCCATGTTGAAATAATTGCTTAGAATATCTTACTTCTAATAGTAGCAACTGATTATGCTGTTAAAACATTCATTATTACTTGGCATGGTCACTCAAATAGGCAAGGGTTTTATATTCAATCTAAGACTATTAAATATCAAAGTTAAAAATGCATCGAAACAAAGTCAGTTGTATAAATACAAGCTAAGTGTAGAACAAAAGAGTAAACATCTGAATAAAAATGGTGCAGAGCAAATGAATGTAAGAGTACTCACAATTTATTAAGAACAAATGCGTTTAACTATATAATACATCTAGTTATATGGTACTGATTATAACGGTTTGTCACTCCGAAGAAAAGTTTACCTCAATCAACCTTATGACCAGACCATAAAGTTCTCATCTAGTATCTCACTCTAAGATATAACTATCCGTATCGACCGTTTTCGTCCTTTCCTATATCAACCACTGGTAGATTCACACTCACTGTGAGATGCAGTAAGGTTGAAAGGATTGGCATCAGTGTTGCGAAATCGACTGTATTAGGCTTTCTGCGTTCTTTTGGACGGTAGTTTCAAATACAGAGAATTCTACAACGCTTTTACTAAGGTATATTTAAAAGAGTGACTAAGTAAGCTTTCAACCTAATAAGATCTTTTAGTTACCATCTCGATCTTAGTGTGCCACCGGAACACGAAAACGGATTTTCTTGACTTATTGAAATATTAAGTTATTTTTTCGAATTCAGTAACAGTGTTAAGCTAGTTTCCTGATTAAAACTTGTATTTCAAGCCGATACTAAACCCACGGGTAGTCGGGAAACCTGGAAACTGAATTTGCAGTTAATCCATGTGTTCTTACCTTGAAGACTATATGCTTGAAGTTTTATTGCTAATTTCAACGTAACAGGAAGAAGACCCATTGCAACGTTCCTCCTGAGCTGAAGGTAAAACCAACGTCTTTTTAATAAAATTTAATGAGAAGCTCTCACCTTATCTGTGGATCAGGCACAAACTGTGGGTTATCAATAAAAAGCATGACAGTAAGAGTCAATGCATGTTGGCGGGCATATTTGTCCAGTTGCTTTTTAATCGACTTATTAAGAAACAAACACTTTTGTTCCCCTGTCCAGTCCTCATAAGTGAAACCAAAAAAGTAAATCTGCAGTTAAATTTATATCACAATGAATAAATGACATACATCTTCTATATCTAGTTTCTGAGCAACATATTCTAAAGCATCTCGACCAGTAGTACTTGAAGATACAGTATACTCAACGCATGTGTTGTCAAGTGTATATATTCTTATAACGTGCAGGTCTTTGGCTGCAACATTATATCTATGTGTGCGCTTAAAATTTAACTTCAAAGGCATCTGATGCTAAACGCGAATACGTATTACGGACGTCATAATGAGACTGGTGGTAAGAAATGACAATGAAATATTCAAACAAAGTTTTTAAAGTAAGTTAGGGAAACAGCGTACACAGGCTTACATTTAGTCCCCAAATATATAACTTAGCAAAGTGCAAGGCGGGTAATCACAAAACACTTTTTTCAACTTCAAAAATTTTTTATAGCGGAGAATTAGACGGGAAAACTGAGGAAAATTACCGAACAAAAGACAAAGTTTTGTGTCACTATTAAAGATGCGGTTCATGATAATAAAAAAAGTTGTCACTAAGCAATCACTGGTACTTTTTTGTTAACGTTTCTGTTTTACCAACATGCCCCAGAATTTAGTTTCCGTCCACCTATGACCATTCTTTTCTGAATCAGTAGGCTTTATTATTGCCTAGAATCACTTATACGACTAGGGTTTATCTTTCCCAAACACTAGGCTATTATTCACAAATACAGTATGATCTGCTCCCGAAAGTCCTGTCTTTCCTGGAATCGTCATTTCAAGGAAATGATGTCACATAAAGTAAACAACTTTCACCTAAACAAAGAAGCGACTACGTTGTCATTACATGCTATTTCAATGTTTCTATGGTCTATCTGACCCTTCAGATATTTATAAGTAATCCATGAAGGCTATTAACTATATGTCCTTCATAGGACGAGGAACCATCATATCAGAAACATGTAAAGCTTACGGAGTTCCATATTCATACAATTAAGCCATGTGTATCCTGGGCAGTTCAGAAGGAGCAAACTGCACAGGCAATCACATCTTTAGCTGCAACATTGGACGCTTGCTACAGCAAAAGATCAATGTCAGAACATCTCCACCAGCCTTTGTACAGCATACTCATCGGAACTATACAAGTGGATTCGGAATAAGTGTATCTTTATAACCCGTCTGGCTAGTAATGAGTGAGACAGTAGATTGACGAAAATAACTATCAATCATCAAAAGCGATTATATTCGAATACTAGCTACAGATCAAGGATGTACTCGTAGACTCCTATGCTCATTATGGGAGTGGGTCTCAGGCAACAACAGAGAAAGATGATAAACCGTATCCAATGTCAAACTTCTTCGATGCATTATTCAATCACAAAGCCAACTTTGATACAAAACTAACTCCGCAAGCTATGTCGCCAAAATAGTTACTTATAGTTGGGTACAACAAAGAAGACGTGCAGCATCGCAGATGAACAGAATCCTATGCAGATGCAAATGCACAGATCGGCAAAAGATGACCAGCATCCTTACAACGAAACAACATTTGAGACCAAAAAGCAACTGTTAACGAACGTCAAGGTAATACTTTTTAACACAAACGACAAGACGGTTCTATTGTGCGGAGCTGAAACCTAGTGAACTACCATAAACACTAACAAAATGTTACGGACTTTGATAAACAGCTTTCCTGATCCTTTCGGCGGGTATCATCAGCAACAAACTTCAATGACAGATAACAAACCGGCTTTCAAATGAAGAAGAAATTAGGAAAAGACACTGGAGGTGGGTAGGACACAACTTTCGAAGTTCCTCAAACTGCACCACGAGGAAAGCCTCGAGTATGCATCCTGACTACAATGGAAAACGTTCAAAGCCAAGGAACGCATTGCGTCGAAAATTAAAGAAATACATCAAAGGAATGCGTAGCACTTGAAAACAACTTGAAAATGTAGTCCGGGACGGAGTTGACTGAAGAATTCTAGTCGGTGACCTATGTTGTATGAAGTGTAACTGGGATTACTGGGTTGGCGAAATCCATCTCCACGTTTCATTATAGGAAAATGTTAAACATCCCTGGATGTATCCTTTCTTCATTACTAGAAAATTACTGTTTCACTGTATTTATTCCTGCTCCTATGGCTGTTTGTAGCTTTGCTTATTTATTTTCCTTTTCTGGTTGGCCTGCTCTAATGAACGCCGAATCGTTTTAAAATCGTTGGTAACATTTTTTCATGCTGGTTGCCTTATTTAACTGCTATACTTTGTCTGATACTTTGTGAGCTGATTACTTTTGTTCCAAAAGGTTGGTTTTGAGGCGTGCCTTCTGTTTGCCTGACGAGCGTCTGCTATCAGTTATATTTCTCACATAATTAATGTTTTCTAGTTGATTAGTCATCCGTGGGAGAATCCTATTTGACTTCCTTTTTTCTTTGGGTAAGATATTTTCCCTTGACTAATAAGAATACTTTCTAAATACTATCGATTGAGTTTGATTAAGTGTCCATAACAGCCGGAAAAAGTAAAATGCGGCACAATAATTTTTATATGTGCTTGCATTATTTCTTCAAGTTCCTTTTCCTGCTGTTTTGAACAACTCTCACATTATCATAAGGTAGTTACTGGGTATTACCGTCTTTTGAACTGTACAACTCGAAAAAATGCTATTTTAAGGCCATCAGCGACAAATATGCGTCAAATATGCAAAATTTGCATTCCATATCACCTCAAAATCAGCAAAATAGACGGTCATCAAAAAGTCACTGAACAAATTTGTTATACTTCTGTCTCCCGTTCCTCATGAGTTGACTCTAATCCAGTACTTTTCAGCCCACTCTACGTTACAAAAGTTGAACGAATGGGTTTCGGTTCATAAAACATAACCGACAATATATATGAACTGACTTCATTAATATGCACTAAGCTTTATATATGATTCTAAGGTCCATTCTCAAGGTTTTGTGTGTGAAAATCCCTCCATGCATACATTTGCAGCTTGCTCTTATTGGTTTCTTTAGTTATACATTTTGTTAGTTTTCTTGATGACGTGTGAGATGGTAATATTTTATTTGTTTTAGTTTTCTCACTTTTCTTTCGCCTTCATTGAGTTTCTATGTTTCTTCCGGACCTGTGTTTATGTTGTTTTAGTTTATACTTCGCCTCGGCTGCAGCCATATTGTCCCTCTTTTGATTGTGTTGCTTAAATTGACTGGGATCGCGCATTTTGATTGTGAATTGAAACACTTCTCCAGGATTGGAAACACTGTGTTATAAAGCAACAAACTATTTTTTTAATGGATTTTAATCTAATCTTTCCGGAAAGGATAGAATAACACTTATTTTTTGGTGTAGTCGATCGATTATCTAGCGAACAATTATTGGTTGAATAACTGAGCAGTAATGTTTATTTAGAACTGTAAGATCCAACCTAGGGTTGGGCTAAAGAATAACTACCAGGGCAATAGTGCGTGTCTAAACTACTCAGACAGTTATTATTCAGCCAAACCTTAGTTTGCATCTTACAATAATGAAAAATTAATTTCAAAATGATATCAAGGTAACAGTTTGTCATAAACATAGGACCATGGCACACTGCCGTTCGACTAAATCTAAAATACTTATAATTGTATGAGCATCATGAAGAAATTTCATTCGACTGGGCATGAACGTACTCGCCGCATGTTACACTTCCCTGGTGGGGGGAGGTTTTTTAGAAATGAGTGTACGCCTCAAGTATCTATTTGAAATTGGCGCTAAACTATCTACTCAGTTCCAGAACTATATGTCATACCAACATCTCTCTTTCAGGAGACTTTCATTAATAAATGCTATATTTTGTCATTAAACCATCTGTCGTACGCCAGGATTATGAATGACACGTGGGAATGTCTCATTTTATACTAGATTTAACATCACTAGTGGGTAGATGAGTGACATTTCACCTGTTATTTTGGGTGGTCTCAATACGTTTTTCTGAAGCAAAAGATGGTTTGTAAAATAACCCCCTAGTCCCTGGACAGTAACCTCTGCGCCTCAATTTTCTAGCTAGTAGTGCACATAGACTGATATGGTAAGAAAACAGAAAGTTGGTTGACAGTGCCATACTAATTTTATATAAAATAAGCATAAGGGTACATAGTGTACATTGTATTCGAATAGTCTTACGAAATTTTAATACAGATACCGACATGAACATTAACTAGCCTTCTAAATTATTGGCACTAATATCAACATTTCTACAATATTGACGTTTTTTCTATTTTCAAGCACAAAATGATTACACTGTCCATAATTTAAGTCATTATCCAAAGGTTATTATCATCCGGTCTAATGTGATTTTCTAAAATATTTATATACTCAATCATATTTGACTATTAGAATCCCACTTTGTTCAATTCCTAAATAATATTCACGTAGATTTTCAGCCTGAGGGTGTTGAGAATAAAGCAAAACACTTTGTAATTTCTACATGTATTCCCCGATCGGCTACTGCAGCCTTTTTTCTGATCTATTTTTCGGTGTATCAATACCAACAGGATTCGTATTAACCTTTTGGTAACCACCAGATAATGATTATCCCACTCTATTCGGTATAAAACCAATGTCACGTCGATTCTGGTGGGAGAGTAGTGTAATGTTACCGGTTTCTAACCACACAATCTTGAACGATGAACAAAAGATTATTGGGAAAATTTCCATTCATCATCTAACGCAGAAAGGTTAAAAATGGTTAACGCGTGAATAATTGTTCAGTATGGCATAGAATGGCTTTGCACGCGTGGTTATTCTGCGTGACTTATCTTTATTTACTTTAAATATGCTATATATTCCCAAACCAAATCTATTCCTCGCAAGTTCTAAACATTATGTTTCCGGTTTTCACGATACAACAAATCAGTGTGGACAATGATGTGACTTAAACGTAAAATCTTATTATTATTCACGAACATCATATAGGTACATAAGTGCTGTGAAATAACCATTTCGGGTTTCTTAAAAAATGCAATAATACACAATTTTCAATAATGTTAGCATTACATTTGCCATGTTTGAGAAAGGAAAGAAAAGGAAAATAAAATAATTATAATAGAATAGTAATAATAAATCAGGTTCTGTGTAATTGGCAAGAATTTTGAATTGGTTTTGAAGGGGTATAGGAAGAAACTAGGGAAATACAAATAAAAAGGACGCAGAATACGTAAATATCCTAACGCAGAAAAAGAATAAACAGTTATGTACGCATCGCAAAATGAGTAATAAAAATAAAATAAAACAAAATAAATTAATAAGTAAACAATTTATTA